TTGGCCCTGAAACCAGAGCCAAATCTGACCCTAATCCTGTGTAAAAAAGTAACCAATCCCGGAGCAGAGCTCTAGCCAATCTGAGCTCAGCACTGAAATCGGACCAATCCCTACTCTGGAAAAACTTCCCCAACCCCAGGAATCCCTATATAAACCCTGTGTATGTTCAGCTTGGCTGGTCCAGCTGTCTTCCAATAAACCCCTCTGAATGAGCTTCGGGTGAAGATCTTCTTTTGCGGCGGCAACAGAGCAGAGGCGACCCTGGGCAGAGCAGAGCAGAGCAGAGCGAGCAGCGCTGTAGCACTTGCCCGGGAAACCTTCCTTGGCAGAGCAGAGTTGTTACACTCTGCTCCCGGCTCCCTGCTCTCCGCTCTCCAGGAGCAGAGCTGAACTGTAGCAACTTCGCCCGAGAAACCTCCTGCGGAGCAAAACTGCTACACTAGGCGAACATCCCCAGCTGGAAGACCCTGTCCTGCCGGAGTGGAGCTGACACACCGGAGAAGCCTTTCTCTGAGGCAAGGCTGTAAGCTGCCAAGCTTACTGCAACCTGTGGTGGTCCTCGGCTCCCGAGCTCCAGGATACCTTTCTACCTGAGCTGTGTAACACTCAGTATCCTTGGTTCCCGAGCTCCAGGATACCTTTCCACCTGAGCTGTGTAACACTGAGTATTCTGTGACTCCCGAGTGCCAGAATACCTGACCCACTCCTGTTCCATCCTGTCCCAACCCATCCCAACAAAACACTTACATTACCTGTTTTACAGATGGAAAAAAAAAAAACATTTGCAGCAAGGGAGAGACTGGCCGACCTCTGAGTATATATTACATTGACTTTACCCTGCATGTTATAGTAGCCAAGCTCCGGAGCCCTGGACACCTTGGCCACTCAGAGAAGAAGCCTCCTGGAGACAAAGGAGGTCAGACCTGTTACTCTTGGTCTAGGCACGATTTCTCATTGGCACACCACGTCGCCTGTCAATTTTATTTGGGTGATGTGCTTAGTTGAATGAGAACAGAGGTATATCTACTTAGCTTCCCAGTTTCCTTAGCAGAAGTAAACAGTGGCCAGCTGGCTCACTCCTCACATCCAGGGAAAGAAAGAGGAGCTCAGACGTGGGCCAGCTGAGCGGGAACACGGCGGGCCCAGGCAGATGCTACAGGGGAGATGGCACGGTGCTGGAGCCCGACTGTACCCACCGAGCTCCTGGACTCAATGGCAAGATCGGGGCCGAGGGGGGGGGTCTCCTCCTGCCCAGGGGTGGGAAGGGTTCAGGTAGTCCCATCCACTGGCTGAGTACAAAGCCATGATCACTGCCGTGGCTGACACCCTGGACAAAAGGACATCCAAAGAGCCGTCCCCAAAGAACTGCCTCCTGCTGGTGCTCCCGCCCAGCACCAGGCCCAGGTGCAGGCGCAGAGTAAGCTGTCCCTCCACAGCAGTACAGGAGTCATTTTCCAGTCCAGGACTGGGTGTCACCTGCCTCCGTCGAGTGTCTATTCCAGAGAAGGGCAAGACCCATGAAACTCGTAAACAAATAAGATAATTGTACGTTGTGCAGTTACTGCGTTGTAAATAAAACAGGACAAGGTAGGAAAAGCTACTGGGTTTCTGGTTCTACTCAGGTGACTGGAGGAAAATGTCAAGTGACTTGAGAGGAGGCATTCGTGGTTACACCCAGGGGAGGAGTGTGAAAGGAAGGGGCAGTGAGAATGAGTGTGGGCAGGGTGAGCTGGAGGGAAGGGAGAAGAGAGAAGGGCCACATCCAGGAGGGTCTTGCAGACCGTGGCTGCCACAAAAAGCCCCTTCTGGCCGGGCGGTGGTGGCACACACCTTTAATCCCAGCACTCGGGAGGCAGAGGCAGGCGGATCTCTGTGAGTTCGAGGCTGGGCTGGACCGACAGCCTCCAAAACAACACAGAGAAACCCTGTCTCATAAAAACCAAAAAAAAAAAAAAAAAAGGCCCTTCTGGTTGGGGCTGGGCTGGGGGCTGGGTTCCGATGTTTGGCTTGGGAAGGTGATGGGGCTGCATGGGGGGTGGGGGGGTGGGGGGGCAGATACCAAAGCCCTGGAGAGGGGGTGGCGGCTGTGGCGGCTGTCTGATACTGCGGAAACTTTAAATGGAAGTTTACAGAGCTGGGTGGGGCTGTCAGGATTACAGAGACTTCTGGGTCATGAGATGGGAGACTAAGGGGCCTTGTGCTAGGAGTAAGTAAGGGGTGCAGCGGGAGTTGTGGCATGGGGTTTCCCTTTGTGACAGAGGGGTGAGGAAAATGTTGTGGAACCAGCTTAGAACAGCCGTGTGAATATCGTCCAGGTCAATCAATAACTAGATTCCTTGGGCCCCATGTGAATATCGTCCATGTCAATCAATAACCAGCTTCCTTGGGCACCAGGTTCCCACTGGTAAAGATGCTGATCAGGGTGGGAGGCTCTTTTCAGTCCCCTGTCTGTGTGGGAGGACCTGAGGAATTTTCCTCCGGACAGATGAAACCTGGTCTCCCAGGTCCCAGGCTAAGTCCGCCTGGTGAGGAGAAGGCCACAGGCACTCTGCCAAGGTCACAGGTTCAAACACAGTAAGAGCATCCGTCGCCAGCCACCTCTTGGTGACGGATGCCGAGTCCCTGGCCTCAGGCTTCTCACATCCTAAAATGCCCCTGTCTCGTGGGAGGAAGGCTCATCTCACCAAGGCCCCATGCATAGAAAGCACTAGATAGTTCTAGAAAATGCACAGAAATGCTGCCATGCCAAGTGAAAGAGGGAGCCACTGAGTATCTGGTCTAAAGAACAGAGGCCAGGCATGATGGCATGTGCCTGTAGTCCCAGCACAGAGGAGGAACCTGAGTTCCAGACAAGCCTGGCAGGGGGTGCGGGTGCAGCGGAGGTCCAAAGCGTGCACAACCAAGCTTGCCTAGCATGGTGCTGTGACACAGAGTACTAATCCAGTTCAGAGAGTTGACACTGCAAATGTGCAAAACGCCGCTTTGAGCATTTCATGTGGTGTGAATTTCACCGGTGGTTTTTTTTTTTTTTTTTTTTTTTTTTGCTTGTTTGTTTGCTTGTTTTCAGAGACAGGGTTTCCTCTTTGTAAAAGCCCTGGCTGTCCTGGAACTCGTTCTGTAGACCAGGCTGGCCTCAAACTCACAGAGATCCTAGCCTCTGCCTCCCGAGTGCTGGGATTAAAGGCAGGTGTCCTGTGAATTTCACCAGTCTTAAGGAAGGAAATTCTCATCAGCAGGCGGGAGCTACCTGACTGGGTGGGCGGTTCTCAAGCACCATGCAGAGCTTCAGGTGGCAGAGCTGAGGAGCAGCAGAGAGGGGCCTGTTCTGCCTGCTTTGTGGAAGCCGTGGCTTCCTGCCCTGCCCTGGCACACTCCCTGCGTTGGCACCCAGTGCGGGGCAGGGAGTCAGGAGCCACCGCACCCGGCCTGCTCAGACCTCCGCTGAGTGTTGAGAGACGGCTGATTATGTGTTGGAAGAGCCCTGGAATCCTCTTGCCCGTGAGCAGTGAGCAAGAAGAGACATAGCTCAGTGTTGGTGACACGCCAGTCCTCGGCGTGACCCTGCCTGGATGCTCTTCTGCCCACCCTCATCCCCCCACCCCCGCCGTTTTGTGGGCCCTGGTGTGTGTCTGATCGTTCCTCTCCCAGGGCCTTCCACTGGTTCCGTTCCTCCACCTCCACTCAGGCTAACGTGACCCCAAAGCCCACTGGAGCCTCCCTGACCTCCAAATCGTCACTGATAAATGCCAACGTTGCCCAGAGTTGCCCCCTGGCTGTCCCAGGGTCAGCTTCTGTCCCTTGTCCTTACTGATCACCTCCACTATAGACCATGTAGTCAAGGCTCTAGCTGCTCTCAGACAGCCCCACCCGCCTTGAGTGTAGCTGTCCCTGGAAGCTGCAGTCCCGAGGGATACTGGCTAAGGAACAGCAGGGTGCTCTGAAGGTGAATAGCGCACCTCACTCCTGCTCTCTCTGGAGTTCCTGAGTCTAAAGAGTTCGTGTGCTTCTTTTTATCTTTTCTTTTCTGCTTCTTTCAGACTTTTACAGCTGTTATTTCGAGACAGGTCTTCTTTATGTGTATTTCTGGCTGGCCTAGAACTCGGTAGAAAGCCAAACGTAGAAGGAGGATACTCCTGCCTCTGCCTCCCGAGGACCAGGATTAAGGAATGCATCACCACAAAGCTAGGCATGCTTGGTTGTACATGCATTCCAGCTCCCCTGTTGTTCCCCTCCCCCTCCGCCCCACCCCTTCACCCCCTGCCAGGCTGGTCTGGAATTCAGGTTCCTCCTAACTCAGCCTCCTCTGTGCTGGGACTACAGGTACGTGCCCTCATGCCTGGCAGGGACATTTTAGGATGTGACAAGCCTAAGGCCAGGGATTCAGCAACCAGCACCAAGAGGTAGTGATGGACGCTCTTACTCGTGTTTGAACCTGTGACCTTGGCAGAGTGCCTGTGGCCTTCTCCTCACGGGGGGGGTGACGACTAGCCTGTGACCTGGGAGATCAGGTTTCATCCTAAGGTCCTCTCAGCTAGACAGAGGATGGAGAACATCCTCCCACCCTGATCAGAACCTGCGAGACAGGCAGGGTTTTGCTCATTCACTCCAGCGATATTTATGCAACTGCCCTAGGGGTGGGGCTGAACCGAGAACAAGAAAGACAAGAATTGTCACGTGCCATGGGGGAGGCAAAAAAAAAAAAAAAAACCAGACGGCGAAACAGTCGGGGCAGACAAGTCCGACAGAGAGAAATGAAACAGGCCAAGGGGAAGGGAGGGTCCAGACAAGAAGTCTGTAGTTTAAAATAGAAAGGCCTGGAAGGGCCTTTAGATGGGAAGCTGGGCCTCGGGTGGCATCCGAAGGAGCTGAGGGGAAGTTCTTGGCGAAAGGAACAGCAGCCGCAAAAGCTGGTGTAGGAGTGAGCCTGGAGCCACAGACCTGGAAGGGGGCTGCGTGCCTGGAGAAGGAGAGAGGTATACGCCATCAGCAGGCGCCCCTTAAGTGCTGTCGCCTGGGCACTGGGGGCCTTAGTGACTCCACGCCAAAGGGACTTAAGATCTCACTGGGTGTCACTGCCTGCTATGTTGAATTTTTTTGGGGGGGGCTGGGAGCCACTGTGCAGCAGAGGCGGGACTAAGGATATAGACCAAAGAATACCGCGCAGACAAAGTCATCAGGCTCTAGAAATAGACGCTCCAAGGCTTTCGCCACAACCAAAGTCTACTTAGGAAGTGTTGACCTTTGCTGGGCCTATTGAGTCACTTACATAATTCCTATAATTGATTATGGGACCAGGAAGGTCCCCAAGTCACCTTAACCTTCCCAGGTTCTTTCCAAGAGTCGAGACGGATGGACTGGGCTGACTGCATGGGAAGGAGGGCGGATTCTCCTGGCCTCCACCACACCCTCGGTCACTGCTCTAGGTGGGGGGACAGGATGCCCGGCATTTCTCAACAGATGACGGTGACTCTCACATCAGCCAGTCCGACCCAGGAGGAGGGACTGTGCTGGCCCTACTCCTGTGTGTGTGTGTGTGTGTGTGTGTGTGTGTGTGTGTGTGTGTGTGTTTAAGCCAGGTATATAAGGCTGTGCTTCTGTGGGCTGAGTCCAGATGACCGTGCCCGTCAAACCTGCTCTGAGTTGCTGTTCAGCCCAGGCCAGCCTAAGACTGAGCTTCAGAAGAGAACGGCTAATGTGGAGTCTGTCCCACCAGATCCAGTCAGCATGCCAGAGGGAACCGCGGACGAATCAGGACAATGGACAGGTCAGGACAGGGCCCCAGCTGTTTCGAGGCAAGAGGGACCATCATCTGTCTCGGTAGGAGTGGGGGTGGCGCCTGGTTTGTGGGGAAATGTAGAGAATAACCTGTTTCGCCCTGCTTGGTTAAAGTCCTGGAACATTCTCTGGCTGCCAAGTTCCGTCATAGAGCCATAGGGGCTGGGCAGGTGGAAGGAATGCTGGGATTTATAGTCACAGCTCCTGGTTACTGGAGTTGAATGAAGGGGAAAGCGGGGTGTCTGAAGGTAGGGGTACAGTGAGTTAGGCCTGGTTTCAGTGAAAGGGATTCCCACCCATATTCCTGGGACCAAGAGACTGGATCTGAGCAGAAGGATACAAAGGGCCATCCCTCCCTTCTGAGCGTGATGACCTCCTCCTTGGCCACCATATTTGTCAGCCATCTGTTCTAACCTCCTGTCCAGACAGGTGTGTGTGTGTGGGGGGTGTCTGTATATGTGTTTGTGTGTAAGCTTATGTGTAAGAGTGTGTATGTGTATGCACACACATGTGCTCATGTCATGAGTGTGTGTATTTGTGAGAAAGAGAGTGTGTATGTGTGTATGTGAGAAAGCGATTGTGTGTGGTGCATATGTGCATGAGAATGTGTGTGTGTGTGCTCATATGTAAGGTGTAAGAGTGTGTATGTGTGTGCTCATGCCATGAATGTATTTGTAAGAAAGAGAGAGAGTGCCGGGTGGTGGTGGCGCACGCCTTTAATCCTAGCACTCGGGAGGCAGAGGCAGGTGGATCTCTGTGAGTTGGAGGCCAGGCTGGACCGACAACCTCCAAAACAATACAGAGAAACCCTGTCTCGTAAAAACCAAAAAAAAAAAAAAAAGAAAGAAAGAGAGTAGTGTGTACATGAGTGTGTGTATTTGTAAGAAAGAGAGAGTGTGTGTAGTGTGTGCATGAGTGTGTGTACATGCACTCATGTGTAAGAGTGTGTTTGTGTGTATGTGTGCATGCACATATGCTCATGCCATGAGTGTTTGTGTGTATCTGTAAGATAGAGAGAGTGTGTGTATGTGTACATTTGAGAGAGAGAGCGATTGTGTGTGTGGTGTGTGTGCATGAGAGTATGTGTGTGTGTGCATGAAAGAGTGTTGTTTGTATGTGGTGGGTGATCTGATGTGTGTATCTGACAGAGAGAGAGAGAGAGAGAGAGAGAGAGAGAGAGAGAGAGAGAGAGAGAGAGAGAGAGAGAGAGAGAGAGAGAGATTGAGAACAGGAGGCTGAGCCCTGGGGTCTGAGAAGGCTGACAAGGAAGGGTCTCCTAAGCAGAGGATGCATGCAGGGCGGATACTCTAGTGTTGGGCGTCCTGAGAAGATTTTAGAGAGTTCCGGCTCCTGAGAGACTGCCAGATCTGGGGCAGGTTTCCTTCTCAGTAGAACTCACCACTGTCTATCCTGAAGCTGAATTATAAATACAGCCTCAGTTTCTGTTTGCTTTTTGAGATCAAGACTTGCTCTGCTGCCCAGGCTGGCCTCCAACGCTCGGGCTGATGGGGCTTCCCAAGCATCTGGGACCACACCCAGCTCATCTTTGTGTGTGTGTGTGTGTGTGTGTGTGTGTGTGCATGTGCGCATGCGCAGCCAATGGCCTCACAAGCACTCAGCGCCCTACCACTGAGCTGCACCCCAGTCCCAAGCAAAGTTTTCCTGATTTGGGTTTTTGTTCTGTTTCATTTTCATTTTTGTTTTGTGACAGGGTTTCCTGTAACCCAGATTGGCACACACTTGCAGTGTAGCCCATGCTGGCCTAGAATTCCTGCTTCTCCAGCTTCTGCCTCTCACATTCTGAGTTGCAGCCATGCACCCCTGCCTGACAAATTCTGCCTTGCTCTCCAGCTATATGAATTACCATATACTGATCAATAGCAGGCCACCTAGATCCTGGACTGGCCTCGGGGCCAAAGGCCTAGGGCAGAGCTAGAGTTTGGAGTGACTTGCCAGTTCACCCTGAGAGCGGCAGGGTCAGCTCAAGGGTAACTCGCCTACCAGGGAAGAGGAGGAGAGAACAATCATATTAGCTAATGGCCCAGAGCCACTGTGGCCACTGGGACCCAGTCCTGAAGACTCCAGCATCACAGACATCAGCCCCCCTTTCCTCCTGGACCTCAGGAGTCTGTAGCACCCACGTCTCGGCTGCAGGCAAGAGTGTGGCTGCTGGCATCTGCTTGCATCCTGAGTTGTGACGTGTGGGGGAACAATACAGCATGGTTTTTTTTGCAAATAAATTAATATCCCAAGAACCCTTGTTTTGGGGGTCATTTGGTGCCAATTTAATTGCAGGGCTGTTGATCCTATCAAGGGAAGGTCACAATTCAGGCACACCTACGATGTCTGCTTCAGCAGTTCAGGTGGGGTCAAGCTCTACATTTGTCTAAGTGGATGTCTCTGGACTTGGGGAAACATACCCCAAACCTCTATACTGAGTGGGAAGGGAGGAATCCTGTCCCAACAGTGACATCTTCCTGACCGAGGTCATTCTAGGCAACCATTCCCTTCTTGTGACTTTTCCAGAAACTTCTCCACCTTAGCCAGCATCTGTTGTTATCTGGTATGCTTCCATCTTCCACGACATCAGCACATGTAAGGGAGAACCCCCCTCTCAGATTTGAGACAAAAATCTAAGATGGAAATGTCTCTCTGGGTGGTGACTGTCGAAGGTGCAGGGAGGCGTGAGGTGTGCTCTACAGACTGACCCACTATGCTCCTCCTTGGGTGGGCATAGAGCAGGAGGTGGCAACCCAACTCTCTCTGCCCTGAGACCCTCTCCTCCTGGCACTGAGTCACTCTGGGCTGGTTTTGGGGCTGTTGGCTTCTCCCTAAGCCTTCTTCCATATTGATTCCCTTTTTCTGATTTTGTGGCCACCTCTTCTTTTTCCTTTTAAACTTAATTTTTTCATTTATCCATTTACTTATTTATTGGGAGAAAGGGACACTAGTGTGGAGGTCAGTAGACAGCCTGGAGTCGGGACTCTCATACCACCTTGTGGGTCCCAGGGATTGAACTCAGGCCATCAGGGTTAGTGGAAAATGCCTTTGCCTGCTGAGCCGGCTAACTTGGCTCCCACCGCCTTTAAACGATTAAAAAAAAAACTGTTTGGGGTGCATTTTGGCAAGATCCCGGTAGAGGCTTCCAAGGACTCTGCTCCGCTCTGTGCTGCCATCAGCTGTCCTTGCTTCACCGACATGTGGGGTAGCTGTGCTCACTCATGCTCCTGGCATCCAAGAGTGGGTGAGGGGAAACCCCCAAACGCAGTACAGGTAGTCCTGGGAGGTCACATGGGGCGAACGGATCTGAGAGGCTGGTGGCCAGCGTCCTGAGCACCCACACACAGAGACCGGCACAAGAGGAACCAGATTTGGGCGGGGCTCTGAAGAAGTCAAGTGACAGACTGATGAAGACACTGCCTAGGAAAAGAAGGGAAAGGGTGTGGGGGAAGAGGGGGGGAGGGGAGGGGAGGGAGGGAAAAGATGGACAGGAGGGCAGGGAGAGAATAAAGTAAACACCAGTGCGGCAGGTGTCCCATGCACTGAAGATGGTATCCCCTAGCTTCAGATGGGTAGGACAGGCCAGATCACAGCAGGGGGCTCCTCAAGCCCCACCCTCTTCCTGGACCATATCAGAGGCTGGAGACCAAAGTGAGATCAGCACAGCGTCAGTAGCTCTAAGGTCTTTCTATCCATCCATCCACCCATCCATCATCCATCCATCCATCCATCTATCTATCTATCTATCTATCTATCATCTATCTACCCATTCATCCATCTATCCTTCCATTTCTCCTCCTCCTCCTCTTCCTCCTTTGTTTTTCCAGACAGGGTTTCTCTGTGTAACAGCTCTGGCTGTCCTGGAACTCTCTTTGTAGACCAGGCTGGTCTCAAACCCACAGAGATCTGCCTGCCCCTGCCTCCCAAGTGCTGGAATCAAAGGCCTGCACCGCCGCCACCACCTGGCAATTTTCTTTTTTCTTTTTTTCTTTTCTTTTGGTTTTTCGAGACAGGGTTTCTCTGTGGCTTTGGAGGCTGTCCTGGAACTCGCTTGGTAGTCCAGGCTGGTCTCGAACTCACAGAGGCAATTTTCTTTTTTATATTAAACTTTTAAGTAAATTTTGAGACAGGGTCTCATGTAGCCCAAGCTGGCCTTGAACTTGCTATGTAGGTAATGTCTTTGAACACTTCATCTATCTCTCATACCACTCAGGTGCTGGCACCAGAGGCAAGTGCCACAGCACCTGGTTTATGCTGGGAATTGAACCCAGGGCTCAGTGCATTAGTGCACAGAAGGCCAGTGCTCTACCAACTGAGCTGCATGCTCAGCTCAAGTTTCTCTCTCTCTGTCTCTCTCTGTCTCTCTGTCTCTCTCTCTCTCTCTCTTCCTTCCTTCATTTCGTCCCTTCCTTTCCTTCCTCCTTTCTCTCTTTCATTCTTTTTAATGTGATGTATTTTCACTTTTTTTTTTAACAAGGTCTTACTACGTCACTCGTGGCTGACCTGGGTGGGACATGCTATGTAGGCCAGCCTGGTCTTGAACTCACAGAGCTCTGCCTGCCTCTGCCTCCTAAGTGCTGGGATTAAAGGCGTGCGCCACCAAGTCTGGCTTTATTTTCACCTTCCACCAGGCTCCGCAGCTTACCGCTGCCCCTGCTTTTGTGACGTGGAGGCAAACCCTATGCAAGTGTTGGGTCCATAGGAGCCCCTCGGGATGTGTCCATGACTGGGTATTCCAAACCTTCTACCCCTGTGTCTAGTATGGTGCAGACGGTGGATCCAAACTACAGGTCCTCCTGTCCTCCAAGAATGTCTGCCCCGTGCCATTCCAAATCTCTGTATTGCTAGAACTCCCCCTGGCAGTTTGGCTTGGCACCCCAAACTTCCTGCCTCCGCTTCCTGAACGAAGGACACCAGTCACTCTAGTGAGCTCACCGATTCCAACAGGCTCACATGCATAGGTCCTTTAGGGGATGTAACTTGGAACACCTAGGGTCAGCAGTGGACAGGAAACCAGGCGTGAGCTGGTGGAGCTCATGGGAGCTCCTGACTGCTCTCTGCTCATCCCCTTGTGACCCTCTTCCTCGTGATGGCACTGGCCTGCCCACCTGCTCTCTCTCCAGAGTTCTCTCTGCCTGAGGAAGCTCTGGAGATGGGTAGTCAAGGAGGCTGTTGCTGACTGGCCTGTGAACAGCGGGCGGCAATGATACCTGCTACCTCCCTGGGGTTCCAAGTCTGGCTCCATCGAGAGCCTGCTTCCTCTAAGGAACTGAGAATATCATAAGTGTCTCCATCAATTTCCGGAATAAACTAAATCTTTTACTGTTTCTCTTCCCACTTGCCTTTAGTCTTTGGTGCTCGTACTTTGAGTTTTGGAGCAGGTCACATGGTTTGAAGTAAATTCACGCTCCTTCCTGCCTGGCCCTGCCCCACTACAGCCTGTGGAGAAAGAGCCTTTGGCAGCTCACCAGCCAGGCTGGGAGACACCAGATTCCAGCCATCAGCAAGGAGGCCCTCCAGAAGCAACTCCAGGCACCTCTGGTGAGTAACTTGCTGGAGCCTGGGGTCCCGGCACGGTTCATTAGCCATTCCTCTCGCTGCTGTGAAGAAACAGGTTATTTGGGGCTCATGGTTTTGGGGAACAGTCTGCCATGCTGTGAAAGGCGTGACAGCAGGAGCAGGAGCTATTCGCACTGTGTCCACAGACAGGAAGCAGAGACAGATGCACGCCGCTATCCAGCTGGCTTCCTCCTCTTCATTCAGCCTCAGTTCTGAGCCCATAGGCATGGTGCCGCCGCACTCAGGGACCGTCCTCACCCCTCAGACCTCCCTGGAGACACCCTGACAGACATGCATGGGGATTTTTGTTTGTTTGTTTGTTTGTTTGAGACAGGGTTTCTCTGTGGCTTTGGAGGCTGTCCTGGAACTCGCTCTGTGTAGACCAGGCTGGCCTCAAGTTCTCAGAGATCCTTCTGCCTCTGCCTCCCAAGTTCTGGGATTCATGCCCAGCACATGGGGATTTTTTTAGACAGTTGTAAATAGAGTCAAGTCAATGATCAAGATTAGCTGTCCCAGGTGGACGGGGTGCTGCTCATGGGGACAGGGTGCTCCAGCCATCTCTTTCTGTTGGTTATAAACACGAAGGTTGGCTTGCTATGGTTTCTGGGCAACTTTAAGCTCAGAGCTCTTGGTGAGACACTCAACGCCAACTGGTCCATCCCTTTAGGACAAATGAAAATCATCAAACCACAGGCATTTGTGGTCCTGGGGCCACTCCCTCCTATGCTCACGGATGTTGGCAGGGCTGTGTGTGTGGTGTGGAAACCTGGAGTGACCCAGTGACCACCCACCAGAGCATCACCGGAACAGCCGGTCTTAGTGGATGGTGCCATGTGACTTAATCTTCCACAGAGGCAGAAGCCAGCCACGGCAGACACGATAGCAGTCATTGCAAAAATGACTAAAGCTGGGGGAGCTATATAGCAGGGAGCCCTTTCCTGTCCCCCCCAGTCGGTCTGAAATCAGTAGCAGGGAGCCCTTTCCAGTCCCCCCCCCAAGCCGGTCTGAAAGCAGTGGTAGTTCTTCGTTTGTTTGACAAGATCCAGGCTGTAACGTGCCTTTACACAGCCCTGTTCCCCACCTGACCCTTTCTGCCCTTAGAACAGGAGAATCATTGCCAGCTGCCACACACAGCATCCAAGCTCTGACGTTTACTCCAGGACAGCTCCTCTACTTTCTTTTCTCCCCGCAGTGTGTGTGTGTGTGGTGTGGTGTGTGTGTGTGTGTGTGTGTATTCTATAGTGGGGAGATACTGAGGATAGAACCTAGCACCCAGCACCTCAGCAATGCTGGGTAAATACTGAGCTGCACTCCCGGCCCCCGACCTGATTTTTGTTACCATCTTCTCGGGTTAATGAAGTCCCTGGGCTGTGAGCAACAGATGGCAAAGGTGACAGCCTGCCTGAGGTGGGGGATGGGGCTAGGGGGTAGGACGTCAAGCCTAGTGTTGATGCACGGTGTTTCTCTCTGACTCTGAGTCGGGTGGTGTCCCTATACCAGCGGTGTGGGGCCAAGAGGGCTGGAGCAGAAAACTCCCTGTCCTCCAGAGCCCAAGCCCAGTCTTTGAATGCACCCCATGCCGGCCCTGTCAGAGTCCACGATGGCACCCTTACCCGACCCTCTTGGAATCCATGATTGTACCCCTTATCCAACCCTCTAGGAGTCCACGATTGCACCCCTTACCCGACCCTCTTGGAATCCATGATTGTACCCCTTATCCAACCCTCTAGGAGTCCACGATTGCACCCCTTACCCGACCCTCTTGGGTTTGATGATTGCATCCCCACCCCGCCCTCTCAGAGCCCAGGTATGGCAGAGCTGTGCCGCGTGGACTCCACGCTCACCACCCTTGATGAGGAGAGGCTCTGGGACATGCTGGAGAGCCACCGCTGCAAGATCGTGCAGAGCATCTGCCCCAGCCGCCTCACCCCGTACCTGCGCCAGGCCAAGGTGCTGGGCCAGCTGGATGAGGAGGAGGTCCTGCATAGCCCCCGCTTCACCAACAGCGCCATGAGAGTCGGTGAGTCCGTAGCCATCAGCCTCTCCCTGAGTGAGTCACCCGGGGTGACAGCCCGGCTCTCCAACAAGGCTGGTGCTGCAGCAGCAGCAGGGAGGGGGAGGACTTCAACACTAAAGACGGCTCGTGCCTGTCCAAGTGGCTGAGGCAGGGGGATCGTAGCACGGTTAAGGAAACCCAGAGACAGACATTGGGGGTTCAAGCTGAAAACCAGAAAAAGCAAAGCAGCCAAGGCACCAGAGAGTTCTCACCCTACCAAGGCTCAGAGCAAAGAGGGGGCGGTGGTGGCGCACGCCTTTAGTCCCAGCACTCGGGAGGCAGAGGCAGGCGGATCTCTGTGAGTTCGAGACCAGCCTGGTCTACAAAGGCTGGTTCCAGGACAGCCTCCAAAGCAATACAGAGAAACCCTGTCTCGAAAAACAAAACAAAACAAAAAAACAAAACCAAAAAAACAAAAAAAAAAAACCCTCAGACTCCCTGAGAAAGCCCTGAGCTCCTGCCTTACATTCCTCTCTAGTGCTGGGATTAAAGGCGTGTGATCCCAGGTGCTGGGATTAAAGGCGTGAGCTCCGTTTCTCTTTTAGACTGATTCACTCTCGAGTAGCTCAGGGTGACCTTGAACTCACAAAGATCCATCTGCCTCTGTCCCCTGAGTGCTGGGATTAAAGGTGTGGCCACAACTGCCTGTCCTCTATGGCTAATTGGTGGCTTAGTGTGTGACTAACCAGTGGCTTAGCTCTGCACTCTGATCTTCAGGCAAGCTCTATTCATTAGATCACAAGCAAGGGGGCTGGAGAGATAGCTCAGAGGTTAAGAGCACTGATTGCTCTTCCAGGGGTCCTGAGTTCAATTCCCAGCAACCACATGGTGGCTCACAACCATCTACAATTCAATCTGGTGCCCTCTTCTGGCATGCAGGCAGAACACTGTATATGTAATAAATAAATAAATCTTTAGATCACAAGCAAAATATCACTACAGGGGACAGCTGCAAATCCAAGGCCAGCCTGGACACAGAGAGAGAGAGAGAGAGAGAGACAGACAGACAGACAGACAGACAAACAGAGACAGAGAGACAGAGAGCCCTCAGCATGGCAAGACTATGTGTCTGTACATAACCCTTTATACCCAGCTCACAGCAGAACACAGAACACTTTCTTGCCCCTAGTGAGAGTCCAGCTAACACGGATCTTGCTTCTCCGAGTTGATAAAGCATGAGTAAAGTTAGCATACAGAGCCCACCGTGAGAACAGTGAAAGCCACGTGCCTCTCCACTGGGGATCCCCAGAGAACTCAACCCCCAGGCGTCCAATGCTATCCACACAGACCCTGGGGCATCTCAGGCTGGCTCTCTCTCCCAAGGGCACTTGCTGGATCTGCTGAAGGCCCGAGGGAAGAATGGGGCCGTCGCCTTTCTGGAAAGCCTGAAGTTCCACAACCCTGACGTCTACACCCTGGTCACCGGGCTGCAGCCTGACATCGACTTCAGCACCTTCAGTGGTGAGAGTGGGTCAGAGTGCTGTGGTCACAGCTCTGCTCCCCCCCCCCAGGGTGGGGAAGAAGAAGCCAGGGGACCTTGTATGCCTCGAGGCCTATCTTTAGGGACCCTGCCCTATGAGGAGTCCCTGGGGGGGCAGCCATGCATTCCAGGAGTGGAAAGCCAACCTTTATTCTGCTTAAGGGGAAGCCTAGCATCTCTCTTCCCGACTTGAGCAGATGAGCACAGTCATGCAGCGAAGGCTTAGCCTGCATGGTGGGACATATGGTCCCGTTCAGGGGCTGAACCTTTCTTTCCTGTTGAAAGATTTGGGTGTTAAGAGAGCAGGCCTCTCAGGAAACTCCAAACAGCAGCCAAGAAACCACCTGCTTTGATTTGGCGTGAAAGATGCGTCCGTGAGTCCACCAGGCAGATTTATGTCTCTGCTGTGTTTTCCTTGGAGTCCCATGGAAACTGCTAGCTCTGAGCGCAGTCAAGCTCACGAGGGGAGCTCGATGAGAATGGCAGGGTCTTGTGTGTGTGTGTGTAAGCCTAGAATCATGACCAAAAATATGGAATCCAAAAGAGCAGGAGGGTTTCAGACAGGCCAGCCGAGTAGAACCGTAGGCTCGCCAGGGTCTAGCCAAGAGGTACGAGACCCCAGGGACTGAGTAAGGAAGGGCGACAGAGAGAGTGACCCCCCCTCCCCGCCCATCCGCAGGTCTCATGGAGACATCCAAGTTGACTGAGTGCCTGGCTGGGGCCATCAGCAGTCTGCAGGAAGAGCTGGCCCAGGAGAAGGCACAAAAGGAGGTATTACTTCGGAGGTGCCAGCAGCTGAAGGAGCACCTGGGCTCGGCTGAGGCCCGCGCAGAGGGGCTGCGCCAGCTGGAGGCTGACCACAGCCGCATGAAGCGTGAGGTCAGTGCCCACTTCCACGAGGTCCTGAAGCTGAAGGACGAGATGCTGAGCTTGTCGATGCACTATAGCAACGCACTCCGGGAGAAGGAGCTGGCTGCCACACGCTGCCACAGCCTGCAGGAGGAGGTACCTGGCACAGAGGACTCAAGCCAGGTGTTGGGGAGGGCGGGTGGGTATCCTAAGCCCAGCCTGGGAACCAGCCTCTAACCGCGACACGCAGACCTCCTGGGTTTGCCTTGTGGGATGCTTCCTTCCAGGGGATGCCAGAACAACATAGGGGGGAGGTCTCGGAGATCCAAATTCCCCCTGGGCGTTTCACCAAAAGAAGGAGGGCAGCTCGATCTAGCTGGGTAGTTTGTGGGTTCAGGACCCTGGACACACACACAGACCGCTGGGCCTTGCAAGTTACCCTGGGAAACTTTGCCTGGCTGACGGGTCCAGTTCCCGTGGCCCTCAACATCCCTAGCCCTTGCTGGCTTGACTTCCTCGAGGTGGTGGTACTCCTCTCGGAGTCTACATCATCTCCGTCAGAGGGCGTGGCAGGACGCATGAGGGCATCGAGAGCAGGGGCACTGTGCCCATCAGTCTAACTGTAGGGATGGGAGCTGGCACCAGGCCCCTTGGTCTGCTCAAGCTGCTGGTTTAAACACTGTATCTCATCTGTAGTACAATAAAGCTAAGGCCGTTCGTGGTGGCGCACGCCTTTAATCCCAGCACTCCGTAGGCAGAGGCAGGTGGGATCTCTGTGAGTTCGAGGCCAGCCTGGTCTACAGAGCCTATTCCAGGACAGCCAGAGCTGTTACACAGAGAGACCCTGTCTCGAAAAACAAACAAAAGTAAAATAAAGCTACATGCCTTTCTCTGGAGAGATGGCTCGGTGACTACATTAGTTACTGCTCTGTTGTTAAAACACGGCAGCTGTAGCAGCTTACAGAGTCGAGGGTTCGCCTGGGCTCGCGGCTCCAGAGGGATGGGAGTCTGCCATGGGCAGGGAGGGATTGCAGCAGGAGGCCTGGTGACCAGAGCAGGGAGCCGAGGGACGGCAGCTTCCACTGCAAACGTGAAGCAAACAGGAAACGGAGAGAGGGACAAGGCTCTCTTACTGTCACTGTCTGCCCCAGTGACACACTTCCTCCCGACCTCCAGCTGGGGACCGAGTGTTCAAATGGGGGTGTTGTCATTCAAACCATCATTAGTGTACCATTAAGAGTGTACTGTTTTTCCAGAGGACCCAGGTTCAGGCCCCGGAACCCACCCCACGCAGTGTAGAACTCCAGCTCCAGGGGTCATCTAATGCCTTTGGCCTCTGCCCATACACATGCATGCATTCCTATGTGTACTTTAAAGAGACACTTTCGAACACCCCCTTCTCCCCATAGGGCCTGGGATTGCTCGGGAGGGAAACCCATGAATGCTGCTCCCGGAGCTTGGGGCTGAGGTCCTCCGTATGATCAGCGTCAGCAGGGAAGGCGGGCGAGCGGCATCCTGCCAGCGCTTAATGGAGAAACCTCCCCGCTTCCTCCCACCACAGCTCTACCTGGTGAAGCAGGAGCTACAGCGGGCCAGCCTCGTGTCTTCGTGTGAGCGGGAATCTCGAGAGAGGTCCCTGAGGATGGCCAGTGACCTGGAGCCTGAGGGAGAGGAACTGAACCGTCTGAAGGAGGAGAACGAGAAACTCCGCTCGATGACCTTCAGCCTGGTAGGGCTCCCTCCCCCAGGAGGCCAGTGCCTCCTGCTGATCTGGGGAGGCCACGCCCTTAGTGTCAGTGGGTGGCTGTGGACTGTGGGATTCTCACAGGTGGTGTCACCAGAGTGAGACTCAGTGGCTGACGCCGACCCCTTCTCTATATCGTGCGCAGGCCTCGGACTCAGTGATCCCCCTGCCTCAGTATCCTGCACCACCAGGTCAGGCTGTGCAGCCCCTCCCCCTTGTTCCTTCCCGCCTCCCTCTTTCCCCACCACCCAGATGGTGACAGCTTAGAAACCTCGTCCCTGTGGGCTAATTTACAGTGGCCACATTGTCCCGCAGTAGAAAAGGTCGCTTGTAAACGATGGGGACTGCCAGGCGTTGGTGGTGCGCTCCTGCAATCCCAGGACTCGGGAGGCAGAGGCGGGTGGATCTCTGTGAGTTCCAGGCCAGCCTGATCTACAGAGTGAGTTCCAGGACAACCAAGACTACACAGAGAAACCCTGTCTCGAAAAACAAACGAAGTTACTGGGAGGGGCTATTGGAAAGATGGCTAAGCAATTAAGAGCAGTTGCTGTGCTTGCAAATGAGCTAGGTTCACTTCCCAATACCCACACAGCCCCTTAAAGCCGTGCATAACTCCAGTTCCAGGTGTTCTAGCGCCCTCTCCTGGCTGCTGCTGGCATTGCACGCACATGGTGCACACACATGCATGTAGGCGGTCATAGAGATTCCCTCTATAAATATATGTAGCCCTTGGGGTGGGGCATGGCTCACTCACTGCATCTTGAGCTGGACCGTGTGTCACTCACAGGTTCCTCTGGAGAATGCAGCAGGCAGAGGTCCGTCCTTTGTCCTGAAGCTCGGCTGGTAGAGCTGTTGAAGGAGAAGGCTGAATGACAGGGATAGAATTGCCCCTCGTGGGGTTCTGTCTCCTTGACCAGTTAGGACAAATGCCTGTCCTCTCGCTTATGACTAGTGTGTATGTGTGCCTGTGCATGTGTGTGAGTTTTTCTGGGGATTGAGTCAAGAGCCCTACACACACACACACACACACAGTATGCATTCACACTCCAAAATGTATCCACGACCCTCATTGCACTTTTTTTTTAAAATTTTGAGTCAGCAACGAAGTAGTCCAAATCGGCCTTGAACTCATTCTGCAGCCTAGGCTAGCCTCGAACAGTAACCTGCAGCAGTGAGGCTGCACTATCTAACATACGCACAGCCTCGGGGACTCTGTTTACCTACTGGTCAGCCAACCTCGTTCTGCACCAGGTGGAGAAGGACATTCTGGAGCAGAGCCTTGATGAGGCCCGGGAGAGCAAGCAGGAGCTGGTGAACCGCATCCACTCATTGCGGGAGCGAGCAGCGGCCGCGGAGAGGCAGCAGAAGCAGGTGACAGACAGCACAGTGCCCTCCATCTCGGGCAGGCGCGTTTGTGGGGCAGACTGGTCTATTCAGTCATCCACACAGTTTAGCCACCCGTGCTCAGACGATTTGTCGGCACGCTCACTGTTCCTCCATCAGGTCCTTACCGGGTGCTAACCACAGCCCGGTCCTCATGGTCAGGCAAGCGATGGTGGGAGCCCCAGGACCGTGTCAAAGGCGTAGGGACCACAAGAGCCCGGGATTTAGACAAGGGGGAAATGGAGAGAAGAGAAGGCAACAGCAGGAGAGAGAGGCGAGGGGAGATCGCCCCTGTATTGGGGGCCGTTAGACAGCGTGTAACTCTGAGCACACCACGCACGCCCAGTCGCTGACTATCTCCGGTATGATTGGCTCTGTGACTCTGTAGACAGACCTCCAACCCTGTTCCTGCAGAAAAAGCGAATTCGCCTCACTTCCCCTCCAAGCCCCGTCTCCCTTGCTCCCGCAATCCCCATCCACCCCTTCCCACCTGAGACCTCCCAGCTAATGAGCGCCTTGGGTGTGTCCCCAATGCTCAGTACTGGGAGGAGAAAGAACAGACCCTACTCCAGTTCCGGAAGACGCAGGTGGACTGTGAGCTGTACCGAGAAAAGATGACCACGCTACAGGGCCAGGTGGCTGAGCTGCAGAAGGAACGTGACCAGGTATCCTAGACCCTGGGGATAGACCCGGAGTCGGGGAATGCAGGTGTCTTCCCTTGCTGGCTCCAGGCTCAGGAAGACTCCACCATCTACACTGCCCCCTGCTGGTGCGCAGGTGAGGCCAAGCTGGCTCAGGGGAGAGGATTCAAACCTCAGGGTTTCTTCACTTGGTCCGTGGGAGGCTCCTTCACTCCCCCCCCCCCCCCCCGCAAGGCACCGACACAGGCTCTCTGTCATCCTCCCTACCTCTGTTCCGGATGCACGACATAGGCTGCCTGTCCCAGGCACAGGTTTTATTAAAGCATAGTTAGTAGGCTTGTATATTCAGTGTGCGCCCCGGTTGGGGCATCTTTTGTGGCTCAGATGCCTGGGTCATTGCTCAACCCCGAGGCACCTCTAACTGCTCCCCCCATCTGCCCTGTCTCGGCTACAGGCATACACAGCCAGGGACAGGGCCCAGATGGAGATTTCTCAGCGCCTGGTGGAGAAGGATGCCCTGCGCAGGAGGGTGTTCGAGCTGACAGAGCAGGTCTGCGAGCTGCGCACTCAGCTTCGCAGGCTGCAGGCAGAGCCCTCGGGAGGAGTGAGTGTTCCAGCCCCAGAGTGGGAGGCTCATGGGTGGGCTGCGCGGGTGACAGTGACACACAGGAGGGGTTAAGTGAGCTGGAGAGATGGGGACAGAGCCCACAGAGCCCTCCACAGCTGTCTGCCTCTGGTCACCGTGGTGCTGTGAGACACTGAGCTAACAGGGTGGGCCAGCTTGCTCCTGTGGCTATCACTGCGTTATAGAAAAGGAAGTTTAGGGGAAGGCTCAGGAGCCAGGAAACCTGGTGCGTCGTGACAGAAGGAGCTGTCAATATGTCCGCTTTACATGGGTGATTTGTCCCAAAGTCGAAAAACCCGGGAGCTGGGGCTGGAGAGACGGCTCAGAGGTTAAGATCAGTGGCTGCTCCTCCAGAGGTCCTGAGTTCAATTCCCAGCAACCACATGTGCTCACAACCATCTATAAGGAGATCTGGTGCCCTCTTCTGACCTGCAGGCAGACATGCAGACAGAAGACCATATTCATAGTAAATAATAACAATAATAGTAATAATAATAGAAATCCAGGAGCCGTGTGACACAGGCCCTGTGGTGAGGGGCCTGAGCGAGCCTGAGAGCTGTGATGGTCGCAAAGCCTGCTTGCTCCATGGATACCAGGGCAGGCTCCCTGGGTGGGCAAGACCGCTTGGGTGCCCGTGGTCCAGGTGGGAGACACAGTCAGGACGTGTTCTTTGTGGGAGTCGACCCACCTCTTCCTGTGTGCGAGCATGTGTGTGTTCTCTCACGTGTGCATGTGTGCATGTGTGTGTTCTCTCATGTGTGTGTGCATGTGTGTCACGTGTGTATGTACATGTGTGTCGTGTGTGTTCTCTCACATGTGCATGTGTGTCATGGGTGTGTTCTCTCACGTGTGCATGTGTGTCATGGGTGTGTTCTTTCACGTGTGCATGTGTGTGTGATGTGTGTGTGATCTTGTGCCACACTCACACTAGGCAAGTAATCTGCCGCTAAACCATATTCCAGGCCTTCCCCAACCTCTAAATAAATTCTATTTTTGAGCCATGCGATGGTGGTGCACACCTTTAGTCCCAGCACTCGGGAGACAGAGGCAGGCGGATCTCTGTGAGTTCGAGGCCAGCCTGGTCTACAAGAGCGAGTTCCAGGACAGCCAGAGCTGTTACACTGAAACCCTGCCTCGAGAAAACAAAAAAAAAATTTTTTTACTGAAATAGGCTCACTAAGTTGCCTAGTCTAGTCTTGAACTTATCATCCTGCTTCCTTGGTCTCCTGAGAGGTAAAACTTAACAGCTCTGGGTCACGAGGCCCAGTTTATGATACATGTATATATGTGCACACACATAAAGTAAATACATGCTATTTGATAATATGTGTGTCTATATATATATGTGTGTGTGTGAATGCATACCTATTTTATGTGTGTGTGTATGTGAGCTCACACACAGAAAAACAATTAGAAAATATGCTAACTGAACATATATATATGTAAAAAATAGATAGATAGATAGATACATAGAATTTATGTTTACGGGTATGTGTGTGTGCCTTAGCGTATGGATGTGCACCATGCTCGTGCAGGAGCCTGTGGAGGCCAAGGGAGGGCATCAAATCCCCTGGAACTGAAGCTACAGATGGTTGTGAGCTGCCATGTGGGTGCTGGGAACAGAACCTGGGTCCTCTGCAGGAGCAGCAGTGCTTTTTCTCCAACCGCTGGGCCGCCTCTCCAGACTGTAGCCGCTCGTTTCGCGTTTGGGGTGGTGTCCAGTTTTATTTTCGCCTCTTCTCTAGTGGCTTCTTCGCCCACCCTCATTTTCTTTTTAGGGTGTAACATGTGCACGTAGATACACAACACGTCACACCGTGTATTGTTCTTAAAACCAGCGCTCAACAGACACAACATACACTCTCTAGATTCTCTAGAAAGACTGAATTGCACGTTTCTCAAGCCAGGTGGACCCCCTCTCCTTGGAGGGTGACTACTGGCAGTGTAGGGGCTCCAGCGTTTCGCCCAGCTGAGATGAGATGGGGACCTGTCTGGTGGGGGTGGAGTATTCGGGAGGAGGGTGGAAAGTTCCCTGCTCTAAGGCCATCTGTCCTCCTTGGAAGCCTAAGCAGGAATCGGGAGCCAGGGAACTCTGCCTCCGGGGGAAGCAGCGGCTGGTGCGGATGCATGCCATGTGCCCGCCAGATGACAGTGACTGCAGCCTCCTCAGCTCCACTGAGGTACATGCCCCTGCCCCTGCCCCTGTCCCACCCTCTGCTGCACTCAGCCCGACACATCATCAGGGCTAAGAACCTTATTCCCACAGAGAAGAATCCGTACCATTGAGCATTTCTAACAGGAAATCACTCCTCATGGTTCTGGGAGCTGGAAACTCTAAATCTAGGTGTGGCTTTGGCAGCGGCCCTTTCTATCTCTCCGGCTTTGCTTTCTCAACAAGCCTTGGCTTGCACCACGCCATCTCCACCGTCATCGCGTGGACGTCTCCAGGTTTCCTTGCAGAGGGCCTCAACCTTCCTAATGCGGCGACCTTTTAACACAGTTCCTTGTGTTGTGGTGGCCCCAGTCATGAAATTAATTTTGTTTCTACTTCATAACTGTAATCTTTGGAGACAGAAGTTTACCAAGGTGGAGTGTGACCCACAGGTTGAGAACCGATGGCTTACAGGGCGTATCAGACAGCTTCCCTGAGATCACCAACTTAAAAAGAGAAGGGTTTGTTTGTTCAGAAGTTTCAGTCAAGGTGACTCAGGCACATCACTTCAGACCTGTGGGGAGGCAGAGCCTCCCAGCACAGAAGCAGTGGGGGAGACCTCATAGAAACTGTGAAAACAGAGGGACAGACAGACAGACAGTCAGAGCATATAGGGAGAGACAAAGATAGAGACACAGAGACAGAGAGGCACAGAGACAGAGAGGCACACAGAGAGAGACAGACACAAAGAAGAAAGAAAGAGCCGGGCAGTGGTGGCCCACACCTTTAGTCTGGAATAACATAAATTCAAATATGTACTCTCTGTCTTATGGATAAACTTTGACTAGAAAAAGGAGTTTGTAATCTGGGCATTGGTGGCACTCGCTTTTAATCCCAGCACTCGGGAAGCAGAGGCAGGTGGATCTCTGTGAGTTCGAGACCAGCCTCGTCTACAAGAGCTAGTTCCAGGACAGCCTCCAAAGCCACAGAGAAATTCTGTCTCAAAAAAAAAGCAGAAGAAAGAAAGAGACAGAAAGAGATAGAGAAACAGAAAGAGACAGAGAGAGAGAGAAACAGAGACAGAGTAACAGAGACACAGAGACAAAGACAGAGAGACAGAGACACAGAGACAGAGACACAGAGACAAAGACAGACAGAGAGAGGGGGGAAGCAGAGCCTGACTTACTACCTCCTGCAGGGGCACACCCCCAGGAACCTAACTAACTTCACTCCATAGACCTCCTAAAGTTTCAACTACCCAATAGCACCATAGGTTGGCAGCCACGTCACCAACACATAGTCTTAGGGGAACATTGAAAATTCTAAACCACAGCAGAAAGACACAGTGATCTGTAGCCCACTCCGTCCCAGTCTGGCTTCTTCTTAGCTTGGTTTTCATCTGTGAAGATCCTAATTTCAAACCAGGTCACATTCATAAGTTGTGGGGCGACATGAATTCCGGGGAGACACTATTCCACCCAGCTCAGTTGGCACCTGTGATGTGAGACCCGAGTTGTCTTCTTTTGGCCTTTGGTAAAGAGATGAAGTGGTCTGTCTCTTCATGGTGGCCATTCAAGTTCAGGACAGTCAGGGGTATGAAGGAAATGCCACTGTTATGGTCCATGGGTCGGAATGGGGATGAGAGGCTGGGCAGTGTAGAGTCCTCTTGCCACTGCCGAGGGCAGGTTTCAGGGTTCCTTCCTGTACGCCCCCAGCATCTGCAGAGCGGCAGACTGTGCACATGCTCACTGGCTTCTTAGAAAACTGGGGACAGGCCGGGCGTTGGTGGCGCATGCCTTTAATCCCAGCACTCGGGAGGCAGAGGCAGGCGGATCTCTGTGAGTTCGAGGCCAGCCTGGTCTACAGAGCGAGTTCCAGGACAGCCTCCAAAGCCACATAGAAACCTTGTCTCGAAAAACAAAAAAACAAACAAACAAAAAAAACAAAAAAACAAAAAACTGGGGACAGGGAAGGAGATTCCACGTTCCAGCCAGAGACCAATCAAAATCCTCCTCCTCCTCATCTCCACTTCCTAGAGACCAAGAGCAGTGTTCTCTTTTGGGGTTGTGGCCAAGATGGGAAGGAACCCCAGGGGCTCAGTAACAGCTCCTAATTTACTTCCCTCGTGCACACGTGTCCTCTCTTAAATACCCGAGTGGGATCAGGTCTCCTGTCTAGCCCTCTCCTACATGCTAAGACGTGGCCATCTTTGCTCCGGCTCCCTCCCTCAGGAGTCCCAGTGCAGGCTCCGCTGCTGACTTTGTCATACCCTCCTCCCCCTCCTCTGGGTGCCTCTGTTGCCCCCTCCTGGTATGGTGTACTTGGACGGTGCCTGTCCTCAGGAGTGTGTGGGTACCAGTAGTGTCCACAGAACTAGGGATTCTCAGTGCCTGCTCAGAACTGGAGTCCCGGGCCAGAGGCCTCATCTCCTCCCCTCAACAGCCAGTAACTCCCCCACCCTGGCTCTCATTGCTTTACACGCACAATGGGACAGCACACACACACACACACACACACAATCTGGAAAGCACACAGCCAGCACGCGGCTACCACGACCTAACATCCACCTCCCTCTGCTTCTCTTTCCCGTGCCGTCCCTCTCTGCCCACCCTCTTCCGCCAGTCCCGGCTCTGGTGGGACCTGATGTCCACATCCAGCCGCGAGCAGATGGACAGCTTCCGCTCCAGCAGCCCCATGCCTCCCAGCCAGCAGTCCCTGTACAAGCGGGTGGCAGAGGACTTTCTGGAAGACCCGGATTCTCTAAGGTAGAGCAGGGTACAGGGCTGGGGTCTGGATAGCCCGAGCGCTACCTGGGCAGTGGGCACAGCGGCTCAGGAAGGGGCTGGGTGCTCTCAGCCTCGGCTGGAGGAGCTCCGTACTACCTGGATGTGCGCTAGCTTCCTGTGCTTTGTGACAGCTTCCCGGAGGTCCTAGAGGTGTGCCGCCTTTCAGGGGCCACAGGGGACGACACAGACACAGACCTGGAGTACGAGATGCTGGACGGAACAGGTGAGCACCTGCCGCACTCAAGGACCTCTACAGAACGCTCTTCTTTTCCCACGCTCTTCTTTTCCCGGGCCACGGAGCTGCAGTGTGGCAAGTGAGAGCCGGGATCCCTCTCCAGGACGGTGGAGTGATGTGACCTTGACCTCTGACCTTGGCCTCTGTGTTAGTCGAGTCCGACTGGACTCTGTCGGCTGTCATTGCTGTCACCCTTTTGTGTCTCACGTAGAGGCCAAGAGGGTTGTATCCACAGCCCCACGTGGCTCAGCATTTGTGTTCAGACAGCCACAGACGTTCGTGTTGGCCTCCGCCATCCCCTGCCCTCCCTGTGAACGGGGCTCAGCTGCTTATGGCAGAGACGCCTAGCACAGGCTGCACCCGCACCGGGGACATCCCTTCTCCTGGGTGCTGCTACCCCCAAGGCTCTCGGCTTGAACTGGTCCCTTGTCCTGAGGTCTTTCACGGTTGGGACTCGCACTTCTCTGCCTCACACCCGGGGCACAGCTGGCTCTCACAAAGGTGTTTGGCTCCCACCCACAATTCCCCTCACAGCCACCAGAGGGCACGAGTGAGTCCCCCCATTCAGCACAGTGGACCAAGTGACCTGCAACCTGAACCCTTGCAGGCTCTACCTCTGGTTCCCATCCTGCTGCTGGACCAAACTCAAGCTCATCCTGGGTTGTTTCCCTTTTTTTTAAATTTGGCTTTTAAGATAACCGGGTTGTTTTTTCCGCTTGTGATCTGGGCTAAGGCCATCCGTGGGTGGCACCTGTTAGGTGTCCAGTGGACTTTAAGATCGGGATAAGGAGGATCCTGGCCCAAGGTCACTGAATTCACAGTGACATGCTGAATCTGACCACCAGAATCCATGTAAAAGCCAGGCACGGAGGGCAGCAGGCATACATAACACCCCCCCACCCCCCCCACCCCCGTTGAAGAGTCAAGACAGGCAGATATCTGGGGTTCTCTGACCAGCGGGCCTAACTGAAATGAAGAGCTTTGGGCTTAGTAAGAGACCCTGCCTCACAAAACAGGATGGAAGTGACAGAAGGAATATAACTAAAGCAGACAGACAGACCGACAGACCGACAGACCGACAGACCGACAGACCGACCGACAGACAGACAGACAGACAGACAGCACTCTGGATACAGAGGCACACACATATAGTCCCAGAACTTTGGAGGGTTGAGAATTCAAGGGCTACAGACTGAGACCCTGCTTCAAATTAGTTAAATTTTTAAACAATGTATTTATTTTTATTTTATGTGCACTGATATTTTGCCTACATGTATGTCTATGTAAGGGGGTCAGGTCCCCTAGAACTGGAGTCGTGAGCTTCCACGCAGGTGCTGGGAATTGAACCTGGGTCCTCTGGAAGAGCAGCAGTCAGTGCTCTTAATCACTGAGCCATCTCTCCAGCCCCAAATTAATCAATTCTCAACATGCTAGAGCTTGGGAAGCCCCGGGGAGCGTCTGATGTGAGACTTCACAGGCCAACCACAGTCAGTGAGTTGCTCAGGGCTTGCCAGATTTGAGATTCCCTTTTGTAGATGTATTTTATTGTGTGTGTGTGTGTGTGTTTTGCCTGTGTGTACATCTGTACCCCACATGCTTGCCAGGTGTCCACAGAGCCCAGCAGAGAGTGTGGACTACCTGGGGCTGGGGTAAAGGCGGTTGTGAGCCCTGGTGTGGGTGCGGGGAACTGAATCCTGGCCCTCTGCGAGAACCCAGGCTCATAGCCATCTCTCCAGCCCTTAGATTTGATCCTTCGTTGAAGTCAGAAATCTACACGTTAGAGTCTTAAAATGCTGGCGACCAGTTCAGGGATGGCAGAAGGTGGCGTAGCTGTCACCAGTTCCTCTGAAGTTAGGAAAGATGAAATCAAAGAGCTAAACACAAAGGAGGGGACACAGCTGGGGACTGAGGGGGACACATCAGGGGACTGAACCAGGCTGGGGGAGGGGACTGAGGTCCAGGGAGGGCTGGGGTCGCCTAGGGAGCAGGGCAGAGGAGCTGGTGATCTTAGACTCTGGCTGCCAAGCGTCCCATTTCCTTCCAGACCTCTACCAGTCAGAGGACAGCCTGCAGGAGTCTTCACGGAGCCCAAATGCCTCAGAAAGGTGAGCTGCAGGCTGGGGACGCCCCACTGCCCGGAGCAAACGGAGCATGGATGCGACAGAGGAGAGTGTGGCTGTACCCTCTCACCACGGGGGAGGTCACAGCATTCCCAGGAGGTTGGGTCAGAGCAGAAAATTCTAGAACCCAGGCCTTTTCTGACCCCTTTGCTCAGGTTGTGTCTGTCTGCCCGCAGCAGTGTCCCTGTGAGGCGGAGGCCGGCTCGCAAGATCCTGAGTCAAGTCACAGTGCTGGCATTCCAAGGGGACGCCTTGCTGGAGCAGATCGGTGTCATTGGCGGGAACCTCACAGGCATCTTCATTCACCGAGTCACCCCGGGCTCTGCGGCCGATGAGATGGCCTTGCGTCCCGGCACCCAGATCATGATGGTGAGCAGGAGTGGGGGACCACGCCAGTGCAGGGCTTCTGGGCCAGGGTAGCAGTGTCTGGCGGGAGACAACAGTCTGGCTCTGACAGGGTCTCAGTTCTGTTCTGGACTGACGGGAAGTGCTGCCCACATCTGTAGACCAGGGCCGTGGAAGGAAACCCAACCCCATCCCCAAGCCTGGCAGTCTAGATCTCTCTCCAGAGCCTGGAAACTCAGAGAAGGCCACTGGACTGCACCGGCTCTGGCCGGGGGACCTTGTGTATAGCACAAGTTCTCACAGGCTTTGATAATAAAAGCCCGGAGTCAGATGCCAGGCCATGGTGGCGCACACCTTTAATCCCAGCCCTCGGCAGACAGAGACAGATGGGTCTCTGTGAGTTCACAACCAGCCTGGTCTACAGGGTGACTTCCAGGACAACAGCCAGGGCTACAGAGAGAAACCGGTGTCCCGATAAACCAAAACCAAACCAAACCAAAACCAACCAAGCAAACAAAAAACCTGGAGTCAGATATAGGGGAAAATGCTGAAAGAGCAGCCAAGACGACACTGAGCTCCTGGCTCCCCATGCCTGATCACTTCCCCTCTCTGCCCAGCCACATCACTTCCTGTCTGTCTGTACAGACCTCCAGACCTCTATGGTTAACTAGTGGCTAGCTCCTCCCTCTGATATTCAGGCAAGCTCCATTTGTTAGAGTATAAGCAAGATGTCACTACATTGGTGTTGTTCTGGAGGTGAAGTTGGGGGTGGGGCTCGTACCTGTCACACAAGTGATCTAGCCCCGGGCCATACACCAACACTGGCCAGGTTTGAGAAAGTCTTTCCAACAGGGTAGGGGTTGACGCTGTGTGTGTGTGTGTGTGTGTGCGTGTGTGTGGTTGTTGTTGTGCCCAAGTTGCAAAGTCCCCAGAGACCACCAGGAAGACCCACCAAACTGCAAAAGCAAGGTTTAATGATTGTTCATCCAACCATGACAGGGACCCCCTCTAGCAAGCTGATGCAGCAGCCCCCAGAGGCAGTGAAGTTCCCTGTCTACTGCTAGGTTTTAAAGACAAAAGTTACAGGATGACATCAGTAGGTACAGGTTGGTTTCTGATTGGTCGACATTTGGGGACAATCAGGAGGATTTCTCAAAGTCATATTTTGGCATGAAATACCTATGTACCAATTATTCTCATTGGTCAGTGCTGAGGGGGAACATTCTGTGGTTTTTATGGCATTGTCTTGTTACTTGCAGGTGGCCTGTTGTATGCAGATATCAATAGTTTTCAGAACTTTATCCTGGAGACTACACGGGAGGTTTTGGTCTCCCCTGGAGTTTCTTTTGTGGCCAAATAGGCTGAGGGGGGTGTTGGTCTGGAGTTTCTTTGTGTTCAGTTTTGGCCCTAGGCTCCAGGAGGCCAGAGGATCTGGAGTTTCCTTGTGTCAGAGGCCTGGGTGTCTTTTCTGTGACCTGCCATGGGGGCTGAGTGAGGGTCTGGTCCCTTTATTTCTAAATCATTAGAAGTGAAGCCCTTGAGTTTAGTTTACCCCTTTCATGTGTGTGTGTGTGTGTGTGTGTGTGTGTGTGTGTGTGTGTGTGTGTGTGTGTGTGTGTGTGTGTGTGTGTGTGTGTGTGTGTGTGTGTGTGTGTGTGTGTGGTTTTGTTTTTGACACAGAGTCTCACTATGTAGCCCCGGCTGTGCTGGAACTCACTGTGTAGACCAGGCTGGCCTCGAACTCACTTGCGTGCTGGGATTAAAGGCTTGCGCCACAGCCTCACCTGACTCTGCCATCTTATTTCTGCCTCCAGGCTCTCTGGTGCTTGAGTGTCTAAGGGTCATTCCCCTTCCCCCGCCTCATACCTCATTGTAAGAGCTCTGGCATTACAGACTCCAGGGATTGAACTCCAGCCGCCAGGCTTATACAACAAACGTCTTCCCACACTGAGTGGTCTCCCCAGCCCCCAAAACAGAATTGTTCAACTTTAAGACTTTCAAATGATTTTTTTCTTTACATTAAAAATGGTTTTATTACGTACATGGGTGTTTTGCTGGAGTTACAGACATTTGTGAGCTGCCGTGTGTGTGTGTGTGTGTGTGTGTGTGTGTGTGTGTGTGTGTGTGTGTGTGTGCTAGGAACCGAACCCTAGTCCTTTGGAAGGGCAGCCAGTGCTCTTAAACACTGAGTCATCTCTCCAGTGCCTGCTTTTATTTTTAGTTACTTGTATGTGTGAGAGGTGTGCGTGCATGAGTGCAGGTACCCGCAGAGGCCAGAATTAGACGTGGGATCCCCTTGAGCTGGAGTTACAGACAGTTGTGAGTCACCAGGTGGGTGCTGGGAATTGAACCTGGGTCCTCTGGAAGAGCAACCAGTGTCTTTAACCACTGAGCCAAATTCCAATCCCCCAAAATATCAGGAAATGTGCCAGATGGGCTTCACCCCATCACTGGGGTTCACCTGTGGGCCCCAGTGAGAGAAGGTGGGAGTGGGCATTTCCCTCCAGAACTGGGTGCCCACGTGACACAAGAGCCCCTCATTCTCGAAGGGACCACACACTTCTCATGCAAGGTCATCCCCTACCCCTTACACACAGATATGAGGCAACTCGGGGGTGACTGTCCTAAGATGTGTCGTGATATACACATACAGTAACACAGACACACGTATCTCCCTAGACTTAACCATACGAACAAGGGAGGCATCGTGGAAACCCCACCAGGTAGGGCTTCACAGATGGGGAGGGGCACTCTGGAAATAAGAGGGTGGGACCCAAACATACAGAACCCTGATCTAGAATGACCCGGATTGTTCTGGAACGCCCTGAGGTCAGTTTTCAACACTGGGAAAGGGGGTCATGACAAAGAGACTATCCTCCACAGTGGAAAGGTTGGGGGTGGCTCGATGGGACGACTCCTCTTGAGGCCAAGAGAGTGTACAATGCAGCCTGATGCTGTCATAACACTATCCATACACACAGCCCATGACAAGGGATTCTGAGAGGCCATGGCAGGCCAAGGTGAGTGGGCAGCTTGAGGAGGGCCAAGAGGTCCTCTGTAGGCTCCCACACCCGCCGTCTTGGTGAGAAGCCTTCACGCTTTGCCCCCAGGTAGATTATAAGCCGACGGAGCCGTCGTTAAGGGCCACTCTGGAGAATACAACCCTGGAGCAGGCTGTGGGGCTCCTCAGGAGGGTGAACGGCTCCTGCTACCTGTCTGTGAAGATCAACACCGAAGGTACAGGCACCGCCCCCCACGCACTCGCTCAGCTCCCCCAGTCTCCTCCTGTGACCCTCAGCCCTTGCTTCCCCAGCCCCTCCAGAGCCCACGTCTACCGAGAGCCGAGGGCCGTTCAGCCAGGCTCACCCTGAGTCTCCCACACTCCAAAGAACGGGAAACTTCTCTCCATCATCCTACTGGGACAGCACCACAGTGGCTTCTGTGCCTCCTCCTCCTCCTCCTCCTCCTCCTCCTTCTCCTCCTCCTTTCACATTCTAGAACCTTCCTCTCATAAGTCCCATGGCCTGGGATCTTCAGCCGTTGGATGTCTTTTATCAGGTTATAAGAACCTAATCCAGGACCTAGACGCCAAAGTGGTGACCTCTGGGGATTCCTTCTACATCCGGGTCAACCTGGCCATGCAGAGAAAGGGAGGGGGAGAGCTGCATGCCCACTGCAATGATGTCCTACACGTCACCGACACCATGTTCCAAGGCCGAAGCTGCTGGCACGCCCATCACGTGAACCCCTACACCATGAAAGACCTGGAGCCTGGCACCATCCCCAACTACTCACAGTGAGTAGCTGCTGCTGGCTCTCATGTCTCCACAGGCATTCCAGGGACAACACCTGCCTGTCCCAGCTCCATGTTGAGGTCCCTCCTGTCCAGGAGGGAGCACAGACCGCCCAGGATTTCCCCTGCCCTATAGCAGAGCATCCACCTGAGACCCGAGTGGAGCGCCAGCCTGGTCCCAGTGTCGGGTCAACCCTAAATAACTCTATTAGTTACAATGTTGTCAGCCAATGTTCAGGGCAATTCTATTAGTTACAATGTTGTCGGCCAATGTCCAGGGCTTCTCATTGGCTATTTCCGTCTTAAGTATTAACCCATATATTTCTGTAAGGACTTATCTTTCTGAGGACAGCATCCTGACGCGTCCTCTCCTCCACCTCCCCCAATCACATGGCGACTCTCTTTTTGACTACATTTCCCAGAGTCCTCTTCAACTCCTAGTCCCACCCTATCTTGCTTCCCTATTGGCCAACAGTGCTTTATTAATCAACCAGTAGGACAACATATACACAGAAGGACTTCCCCCATCAGGGAAGGTTAACTTCTAAGCACCTGCTGGTGGTTACCCATTCTGCTATCTACCCCGGCTTCGCATTAGCCCCCACTGGGACCAGTGTGGGACAGTTAAGTTAGCCTGGCCTGGCCTGGATTGAGGCTAGGAAAAATACTTTCAGAGGCCCAGCACTCCTGTCCCCAGCCTGGGTGTCACTGTCAGGCTCGAGGCTGCCCAGTCAGGCTGTCAGAGTCTCTCTTCCTTCATTTGCCCAGGGCTCAGCAGCAGCTCCTGGCCCTCATCCAGGACATGACCCAACGGCGCACGGCTCCCCGCAAGGTGAGGCTCTAGCTGCAGAGTATGGTCCCCTGGGGTGGGCGGAAAGCCCGTGGAATCCGGTGTGGGAGCTGCGGACCACTGAGCTGGGCGGGGCAGTATCTGGACTCTATGTGCCCCGCCAAGCCCTCGAAAGCCTTGCGGGGTCCTCACAGTGAGTCACAGAGTGAACGCGCCAGGCGCCGCCCTCAAAGCAGCTCTCTCTTTCCCGGTGCCCTGCCACGGGCTCAGCTCCCGGATCTTCTTTCCTCTGAGGTCGGGCACCTCGTACTCTTGGGACGCAGAGCACCTTTCACTCTGAGCACACATCTGTCCCTGAGCAAGGTGCTAGGACATTGCTGCCACATTAGGAGGGGGCCCGCTGGTCTCTCCGCCGTTTGCACCCCAGCCCTTCCTGCAGAGGCCCCTCCCCGGCCTCCCACCCCTTGGTGTGGGGCTTGGGAAGTCTGGTCGCCCCATGGCACAGAAAGCTGTTCTGGGTTTGCTTACGGGACAGGGTGCCAAAGCGGGGGTGGGGAGGAGGGGGGTGCCAGGCCCCAAGCCCAAGTGTTGATGGCTGAGCCTTGTCCCTTTCCTGTCTCCCGTTCCTCCTGTGACAGCCTTCCGGAGGACCACAGAAGTTAGTGAGAATTGTCAGTGTGGACAAAGCCAGCATCAGTCCCGGTCCTCTGTCTTCGTCCTTTGACCAAGGCCAGCTGGCTTCTGGCAGGGGGGAAGGTGAGGCCTGGCAAGTCAGCATAGCGACCACGTGGGCATGGGGGTCACTCCTGGGCAGTACAGTCAAGGTGGAGTGTCAGGCCAGTTTGTTTATTCTTGAATATAGATGTTTTGCCTCCACTTAGGTTTGTAGCATGCCATGCATTACCCCTGGGAGCCAGGAGAGGGCGCAGGATTCCCTTGGGACCTGAGTTACAGTCGGTTGTGAGTCACCATAGGAGCAATTGAAACCGGACTCAGGTTCCTCTGGAGGGGCATCCAGTGCTCTTAACAACTGACCCATCTCTCCAGCACCCCACCCCACCCCAGGCAGCTCTTATGGATCATAATGTCTACATGCCTTTCTGGACAGCAACTAAGCAACACACTTGATGTCCTTTAAAAAAGGCCGTGTCCCCTCTGGGACCTGACCCAGTGAAACTGCACAAAAGCTACACAATGTGTGCAGGAGTCTGTTCGGAACATTAAAAAGCTACCAAATGCCCAGTGTCATACAGGGGGAGATCACTATGTGACCAGCGTGTGTTCAAGGTCTTGCCAGAGGGCTGACTGGTACCGGCCCACAGTTAACGCTGCACAGTGAGGTTGGTCAGAAGGAGACCTGGGAGAAGACAAATCGTTCATTTTCATTCAAGAAAGTCTGGGTGCATAATCAAGGTGGACACTGAGACTAAAGCCATGGCTTGGGTCTGCACTTGCAGAGGACCCTGGTTTAGCTCCCAACACCCAAATTAGACAGCTTACAACATCTGTAACCCCAGTTCCATGGGATCCAGTGCTATCTTCTGACCTCTGTAAGCATTAGTACACACACACACACACACACACACACACACACACACACACACACACACAGACAGAGGTAAAACACTCATACACACCGGGTGTTGGTGGCGCACACCTTTAATCCCAGCATTTGGGAGGCAGAGGCAGGCGGATCTCTGTGAATTTGAGGCCAGCCTGGTCTACAGATCGAGTTCCAGGGCAGCTTCCAAAACAATACAGAGAAACCCTGTCTCGAAAAACAAAAACAACAACAGAAACCACTCATACGTATACAATAAAAACAAATTGAAAAAAAATAAGATGATGTTGAAGACAGGAGCAACATAACTAACCGAGGAGAGACAGAGAAAAGGGTCCAGGAGGGAAGAGGCCGATGATCCTTGGCCTGAGGTCAGGGCTGAGGGGAAGACAGGACTGAGTTCACAGGAAAGAGGGAGAAGCTAGAGGGAGGGCTGGGGTGAGAGACACATCTTCCTTCTGGAGGAACCAGGCTCCTCCCACCCTCAGAGGCTCACCCTGAATTGCTGTGAGCTCTGCAGCCAGCTGTGCCAGCGTGCACAATCAGCTTAGCAGCACTGCAGCAGAGAGTGTCCCGTGTCAGCCCCTCCCCCAGAGAGAGGGCGCAGGGACGCAGGTGGGCGGTGCTCACAGCCTCTCCTCCACAGGTGGCTCCAGAGCATGCCTCTGGGCAGAGAGCTGCTTCACCCTGGCCCCCTACACCCTGGTGCACCCCCACAGGCCTGCCCGGCCCCGGCCAGTGCTTCTCGTGCCCAGAGCAGTCGGGAAGATCCTGAGTAAAAAACTCTGCCTCCTCCAAGGCTTTAAGCAGTGTCCGGCAGGTACGTGCTCCCCTGTCAAACGGCCAGAGGCCGGCTGTCCCAAGGCAGCCGTGAGCAGGCGACCATAAGTTTCACGGTATCATGACAGAAGGCCACAAACTGGGACACTGGAGGGTGATGGTTGTCTCGCAGTTCCCTGGATGTCTGGCCCCGGGGCCTCAGCAGAGCCCTGCTCTCTCTCTCTGGGGGCTGCAGGTGTGGGTCCTTCCTGGCTCTTCCGTGGGGATGCAGAGGGTCCCCACTCCCATCTTGGCTGTGGTCATCGCTGTTCCTTTTTCCTTCTATGTGTCTGTGTCTACACACGGCCTTCTGACTGACGGTCCATCGTAACCCAGCATCGTCTCATATAAAAGCCCTACTTCCCAACGAAAGTCAGTCCACTCTGGGATCTGATGGACATTAGTGGGGTGGGTCATTATTGAAAACAGGATTGCGTAACGGGGGGCAGTGGGGCTGGAGGGTTCTGTCAATTTGATACCAGCCATGAGTTCCTCTAGACACGGTCACCTGGGTGCAGTTGGTGCAGACCGGGGGTGGGGTCGGGGTATGAAGCAGCACACTGTGGGCTCTGCACATGCCCAGAGAGAGAGAGGGTGGGAGATGAAGGGAGAGGGTGATACTGGGGGAGATGGAGAGAGATAGAGAGAGAGAGAGAGACTGGGGGAGATGAAGGGCCACTCAGCAGGGGACAGAAGAAAGGAGGCGGTCCAGCTGGCCAGCCAGCATGTTCAAAGACACCGCAGAGCACTGGGCTTAAGCCACTGCTCTGGTGGCCGAGGGCAGTGGAGGCCAGATGTCCAGTTCTATAAAAAAAAAAAAAAGAGCCGGGCATGGTGCATGCCTTTAATCCCAGCACTCGGGAGGCAGAGGCAGGCGGATCTCTGTGAGTTCGAGGCCAGCCTGGTCTACAAGAGCTAGTTCCAGGACAGCCTCCAAAGCCACAGATAAACCCTGTCTCGAAAAAAGCCAAAAACAAAAAACAAAACAAAAAAAACGACGGTTTGGAAAGAGTGAAGGCTCACTAATGCTTGATCTTTGGACACCTTTCTTGAAAGCAGAATGGAAAACGGCTCAGAGGGCCTGGCCAGGGGTTGGGGATATGTTAGCTACTGGAGCTTGGGGGCCCAGGGTTCCAGCAATGCTGCAGTGTGGAGGTTGGGAGGGCTCCTGAGATCTATACAGTTGGGAGCGCCTTGATAGAGAGACGCAGCTAGGAAGAGGGCAAGGGCCCTTCTGATGAGGCTGGGACAGTGAGAGCTGCTCAACCTCAGCACAAGGCTACCCGAGGGTACCGTTCTCCATTGTGTAGCTGTCCTGGGCGCTGTAAGATGCCTGACAATATGTAAACAGTGGAAAATTGCCCCCAAACAGTGCCCAGTGTCCCTGCTGGATAGAAAAAGAGATTTAAGGGACCAGTAGGAATCCTCAGTGTTAGGAGTTGGACCCAGCTGTAAGTTGGAGGCTGGGACATGATGTTGGGCATTCATTGTCCATCTATCTGTCTGCCTATCTATGGGTCCATCCCTCCATCTGTCAACCCCAGCTGCCCCAGAGTCTACACATGCCACACTCATGGTTCAGGACTTGTGGCAGGAAGTGGGGTAGGTATCCACGTGGCCACTGTAGGAAGCTTCTCCCGAATGTGGTGAGAGACCTCCACGTTCAGGGAGGGATGCTTAGCAGGGCTCCCTCAGGACCCCAGTGTGTGTGTGACCACCCCATCTAATGTCACCCCCAGAGTATTTGAGCCAAGAGGAGTATACCACCTGGAACCAGAGAGGGGATATCATCCAGGAGGGAGAGGCGATAGGTGACCACCATTGGGTCACGCGCCACGCTGTAGAGTCCCTCATGAATACGGTAAGGGGAGGGCTAAGAGGCTACTCTGGGCGTGGCAGCTCCTGCCGAGACTTGGGGAGGAATTTGGGGATTCACTTGTGGGGCCCTAGATTCCCATCTTCATGATCTATAGGAGGGCAACAGAAAGACCCAACCCTGTTACCATCATCCATTAATGGGTGGGTCTTTGCCTCAGTTCCCTTAACTTGGGATGCTTAATAGATGTTTGTTAATAAACGAAGTAAATGGAGACATTAAGGCTGTCACATTTCACAGTTCACAAAGAACTATCAAGTCTCGTACTTACACAAGGAGCAGGGACAACACACACACACACACACACACACACACACCATGGATGGAGAGTTACAGCTGGCATTGTCTGATTTTTTTAATGTGCATTGGTGTTTTGCCTGCATGTATGTCTGTGTGAGTGAGTCAGATCCCCCTGGAACTGGAGTCACAGACAGGAGGAGACCATGTGGGTGCTGGGACTTGAACCCTGGTCCTCTGAAGAGCAGCCAGTGCTCTTAATGGCTGAGCCATCTCTCCATCTCCCCCAGCGCCCCCCCACTGTATTATTATTTTTTTTTTTTTTGGTTTTACGAGACAGGGTTTCTCTGTATTGTTTTGGAGGCTGTCGGTCCAGCCCGGCCTCGAACTCACAGAGATCCGCCAGCCTCTGCCTCCCGAGGGCTGGGATTAAAGGCGTGCGCCACCACTGCCCAGCTGTATAATTAATTCTTAAGGTTTGCATTCCATGCAAAATCTATCTCAGTGCCAAAGCCTTGCAATCCCAGATTTTCCAGGGGCAAATCAAATGAACACCACCCTTTAAGATTTACAGCAGGCGCCCTGGCACGTGCCAAGCCCGTCTCCTCTATTCAGGTCTCTTCTACACAGCCCTGCAGTCTGCTGTGTGGGGCTAGTCTCACTTCTTCCCTGACCCGGGAGCTTAACTTGCTTCTCTGTGCCCCACCCCCCACCCCAAAGGGCACCCACGCCCTGCTGGATGTCCGGCTGGACAGTGTCCGTACCCTGCACAGGATGGACATCTTCCCCATCATCATCCACGTTTCCGTCAATGAGAAGACGGCAAAGAAACTCAGGTAGGTGCTCATTGAGGGCTGGGCAGCGGAGCTGGGCAGCAGGGTCTAAACAGACGCCTGAGCTCAGGAAAAACTTGGCATATATGCCTCTGGGACACGCTGGAGCTCTTTCTGTTCCAGCCCACGGCCTTGTGCCCACAGCCTCGGGACACAGCTTCAGAACCTGTCCCCTGCCCCAGCTAGACTAAAGCTACACAGAGCCTCAGGCTCATGAAGCCTAATTTGCACGGATCCCACCCCACATTACTTGGTATCTGGCTGGGACAAACATACCCTGCAGCCTGTATCCTTCGGGAAGTGTGATACGCTTTGCACACCCCATCCGCGGACGCCACTGGCTTCTCTAAGAACTTCCTCCATGCTTGTGCCCAAGGGCGTTTCCATGCATGCTGAGTCCTCTCTACAAACTCTGGCCTGGCCCCCTACAGTGAAAGCCCGACTGTGTACTCTCCTGGCTTCCCAGTGCTGTTGTCGGGAGCTGACAGTCTCTGCTTTGCAGGAAGGGCCTGCAGCGGCTCGGCACCTCGGAAGATCAGTTCCTCGAGGCAGCCCGGCAGGAGGAGGGGGACCTGGACAGAGTGCCCTGCCTGTACAGCAGCCTAGCCTCTGACAGCTGGAGCGACCCGGACAGTCTGCTCAGCTGCGTGCGCCTGGCCATTGCAGACGAGCAGAAGAAAGTGGTATGGACGGAGCAGAGCCCCTGCTGAGGCCCAGACCTGGCTGGGGACTGTGGTGACCTCCACCTGGCTGTCACTGTTGTCAGCAAACAAGCCCACCTCCTCCCCTGGCCTGGGTCTGACCTCACGTGTTCACAGCAGTCAAGGTGTAAATGACAACACCACAGTTGCACGGTATGGCCTGGGCTGGCGGAGGATTGGAGGATATTCTGCCAGGGTGGGGGTTCTTCTGAGACCTGTTCGGGCCAGTGCCCCAACCTCCTATGAATGGCTTCCTGGGGAGTATCCCTCCTTTTACATCTCCGATGTCAAAGGAATCTTGAAAACTCGCTGGAGGAGTCATCCCCATCCAGGGCAAGGGCACAGACTCCGGGCCCTGAGGGCATGGCTGACTCGTCACAGCGGCCAGCAGCCAAGTGCCGCCACAGACACCTGCAAACGACAGACTTGAGCGGCTGACTCATGGCCTCGTGCCCAGCCCCAAACACCAGGTTGCTTTGGTGGATGTCCTGGACAAAGCCAACGGACTCTTCCCGACTGAAGGACTGACATTACCCTCTGGTCCCTCTTGGGATGTATTACACCCTGCTTGGATGAAGCTGCCACCTAGTCATAAATGAGTTATTTTGACAGGGTATTTGAGTCTCAATGCCTAAAATATAGTATGCTACTATGAAGTTCTGTGTACTAATGTACAAAGCTTTCCCGACATGCTGGGCAGTGATGATACACGCTTTTAATCCCAGCACTCGGGAGGCAGAGACAGGATCTCTGTGAGTTCCAGACCAGCCTGGTCTACAGAGTTAGTTCCAGGACAGGCTCCAAAGCCACAGAGAAACTCTGTCTCAAAAACAAAACAAAAGGAAAAAAAACCCAAAGTTTTCCTGATGCTAGGGCCCATGACTCTCCCTGCCTCCCAGGATGGAGTTGATGGTGGGCGGAGGGGACAGACCCTCTCCTCCTAGGTTTGCAGGCTGTGCTTCTGACCCTTGGCAAGGTGGGGGGGGGGAAGGCTGGAGCCAGAAGCTTGGTGTCACTCAGAGAGAACGAAGGGCAAGAAGAGAGCACTGTCACACCCCGTCCCTCAGTCACTCAGGCTCAGACAGGACACGCGGAGTCCAGAAAGACCACAGGATCAAAACTATCACCTCTGAGAACCAGGGAGATTTTTCCGGCCAAGCATGTACTTGACAATGAAAGCAAGCCCAGGGCCTCCTAAAGGCTCCCTCCACACCAAGGTTGGTTAAAGTCGCCAGTGTGGTCCGCCCGCTGCCCACGTGGCACACAGAATCACTGGGCTGCTCTCGGAATGAAGATCTTAAAAACATCCACGGGAGCCGGGTGGTGGTGGCGCACACCTTTAATCCCAGCACTCGGGAGGCAGAGGCAGGCGGATCTCTGTGAGTTTGAGGCCAGGCTGGACCGACAGCTTCCAAAACAATACAGAGAAACCCTGTCTCGTAAAACCAAACCAAACAAAACCAAACCAAACAAAACAAAAACAAACAAAAAATAAAAACATCCACGGGTCCCAGAAACCAGAGGGCTTCAAGCCCCCAGACCTCACCCCCTCCACCCGCAGGTCAGACTTGGGATTGTGCCCTGCCCAAGGATCCCCTAAAACTCCTGGGTCAGTTCACGTAGACGCGAGGACGGACAGCAGCGTTTCCCTGACACGGCGACCACATGGTGGAGTGCGTGCCTGAATGTCCTCCCCGGCCCCCCAGAGGCAGGAGGGGCATCCCACCCACCACTATGGAGGGGCCGTCCTTGGATGGATGTGTGGAGGGAGGGTGGGACTGTGGGCCCGGCCTCCATTTTCTCTCCCTTCACGTCCGAGTAGAGGAAGGGGCTGGCAGATGCCCCCGGGGACCAGTCAGAGCTCGTTGTGAAGGGGTCGGCATTGCGGGGTGAGCTTTTCCTCCAGGACCCCGTCGGGGGCGCACACCCAGGGGTCATGCGTCTCCCATTGCCACTTGGCCAGCTGGGTTTTCAGCGCCTCCAGTACTTTCGAGAACCGTGGGTCGGCGGCCAGGTTCTGCGTCTCCCGGGGGTCGAGGCTGACATCGTAGAGCTCCCAGCGTTCCCGGTAGTAGTAACGGTGGAGGTCCTTATACCAGCCCGTGGGCTGGCCGGCTGTGGTTCGGTTCAGGAGGTCCTGGAAGGTGGGGGACACGTAGAAATCCTGGTCGATGGGAAATGGCATCTTGAAACTGAGGTTGTGAATGAGGCGGAAGTTCTGGTGCTGCACCGAGCGCATGGGGTAGGACATGGTGACCTCGTGGTGGCTCTGGCTGCCGAAGACGGTGGCCCACCACAGGGGCTCCGCCTCCAGCGCTGGCAGCAGGGATCGGCCTGTAAGCTGGATCGTCTTTGAGCCGAAGATGGCATAGCTGGGATACGGAATGGAGAACCAGTCCAGGATGGTTGGGGTGAGGTCTGCAAAGGAATAAATGGCCCTTAGCCGGGGGGTCCCTGAGGGATTACGGGAGGGTGAGCCTGAGCCTCTCTGGAAATCCCACGGGCACCTTGTAGGATCAGATCACCAGCGGGGAGGGGCTACTTTGGGCCGCACCTCTCACTGGTCGCCTCCAGCCTGTGGAGCCGTTAATGGTGTGGCCAGAGGCCCTGGCTTGTTGAGATTTTGGGACTGTCTACATCCCTAAGGACCAACCAGAAGGACCCTGGGTAGGGAGTGCTCATCTAGGCACTCTGGGCTGGTCACATGGCCCCTCCCTCATGGCTTGGCGCCACATGCAGGCGTGAGCTGGAGGGAACCTATCTCATAACCCTGAGAAGAACACCCAGGCTTCCCCCCCCCAAAGGGCTGCCCGATTAACCCAGCCCCTCATCTCCCACGCCCGTGGTCACGTTTGCCCATTCACGGCGTGCGGCTGGATAGCCAGGCCCTCAGAGCCGACTCCCGGGAGGCTCCGGATCCTGAGAAAAAGGGAGATGCCACACTGACTCTCCCGTGGGTAGCCTGCAGTCCGTTAGTACCACCTGGGACCCCACCAGTCCCTTGGGGCTCGTGACCTGACAGGAACAAGCCTCCCAGGTGACTGCTTCTCATCACGTCATAGAGGAGGCCGTCTCGTGCTTGCCCAGGCGGAGGAGCACTACCTAGGTCAGGGGAGCACTCCAGCATCTGACCCATGGAAGTTCCACTGGGAGGTTGGCTTTGCCTATCCCCTCCCATGAGATAGACAGACAGACAGACAGTCATACCTAGAAGGCTCACGTAGGCCTCGCTGACCTGGCCCCAACGTTGTGGGTGCTCTGGGGATGACACCAGCAAGGGTTCTGCTGTACCAGGCCAGTACAGGTTGGTCCTGCCACTGGGGAAGGGGATCCCATTGTCAGATGTGAAGATGATGAGGGTGTCATTCAGTACGCCGGCACCTCGCAGCTCCTGGAGCACCAACCCTACCCCTGAGGAGAGGGAGGAGTGGGAGGGCTCAGGCCCACGTGTCCATTCACCCCGGGCTCTGTACTTTCTGGCCCCTGTAGCCTCCTTTTTGTAGTCTCTACAAGGCTGCTTCTGACCAACACCACACAGCTCTTGTACTTGAGCAGGTCACATGGCTCCCAGGGACATCTCATCCCTTAGAACTGCTGTCACACTAGGCAGCTGCTACTGCCCCAAGCTGGCTTCTTGTTTTAGAATCTTGTGTCTATCCTGTGGAGCACACAGAGACAGCTTGGGGAGGAGCCTGAAGACAGGACACCCCTCTTTGGGCTCTTCTAACAGTGTCAGTAGGAAAATGACCCCAGGACTATCTCCTGCAGGACTTGAGTCTCCACCCGTGACATGCAAACAGGGACCTGTGACTGTGACCGAATTAAGTTAAGGATGGAAGGAGGACATTATCCTAGGTAGGCCCTTCTCAGGGAGGCCAGGAGCAGTGACTCACTTCTGCAATCCAGCACCAGACAGGCAGAGGCAGGAGAATTGGGAATTCGGGACAACCTGGGCTACCTAATGAGTTCCAGGCTAACCTGAGCTATAGCAAGACCCTGTCTCAGAAAGAATGAGTTTTAATTTGAAAGAGACATCACCGGGGAGACGGCACAGCAGTTAGTCTGCTTGCCACACAAGAGTCGGGATCACAGTCTGGATTCCAGAAACCCACATAATTGCCAGGTGAGTGAGAGAGATTGCCTGGAATTCCAGCCACGGAAGGCAGAGATGGGATCCTCAGAGTCAGCTGGATCACAAGAGCAGCCGTGTCAGCAAGCTCTAGGTTTGACTGACAAACTCAGTCCCAGTAAGCAAGGTGAAGAAGCCAAAAGTGAGGATACTTCCTCAGGCCTCCACACTCACACACACTTATACACCCATACACATGTGAACATATACACACACATTTATATGCCATACACATGTGCAAACACACACACGTATACATCCATACATATGTGAACACACACATTTACACACCATACACATGTGCAAACACAATGCTTATACACCCATACACATGTGAACATATACACACACATTTATATGCTATACACATATACAAACACGCACACACTTGTACATCCATACACATGTGCAAACACACACACTTGTACATCCATACACATGTGCAAACACACACATACTTATACACCCATACATATGTGAACACACACACACATTTATACACCATACACACATGAAAACACAAACATATTTACACACCCATATACAGGTGAAAACACATTTATACACTAATACACATGTAAACACACACATATATTTACATACCATACACATGAAAACACAGACACACATTTATACACCATACACATGTAAACACACATTTATACATGTGAAAACAGACACTCACATTTATGATGGGGAAAGCCTGTGTATATGTCAATAAAGCACTGTTGGCCAATAGGGAAGCAAGATAGGTGGGACTAGGAGTCCAGGAGGACTCTGGGTAGAGAAACACAGGAGTCAAGATGTTGCTGCCATAGGGGTAAGAAGTTCGGAACTATTTTCCGGTAAGAGAAATACTTAGATTAACAATTATGGGGTAAGCCGGGCGTTGGTGGCACATGCCTTTAATCCCAGCACTCGAGAGGCAGAGGCAGGCGGATCTCTGTGAGTTCGAGGCCAGACTGGTCTACAAAGTGAGTTCCAGGACAGCCACCAAAGCTACAGAGAAACCCTGTCTTGAAAAACCAAAAAACAAAACAAAACAAAACAAAACAATTATGGGGTAAATACTTAAGTCAGAGCTAGCCAGTAAGAAACAAGCAAGGCCAACAGCTTCATAATTAATACAGCGTCTTGTGTGTTATTTGGGGACTGCAACACGGCAGAACCCAGGCGACTGGTGGTGAAAAACCAAAGTGGCTGACAAGGAAAAGGCATCACTCAACACATTTATACACCATACACACGTGTAAACACACATTTATATACCCATACACATGCAAACACACATTTATACACCATACACATGTGAAAAGGCACACATTTACACACCCATACACATGAAAACACAGACACACTTATACACCATACACAGGTAAACACACATTTATATACCCATACACGTGCAAACACACATTTATACACCATACACATGTGAAAAGGCACACATTTACACACCCATACACACGTGAACACACACACATTTACACACCATACACATGAAAACACAGACACACACTTATACACCACACACACCGGAGACAGACCCTGCGGCAGCACGGCCACAAGCCAAGGGGTACGGAGCCCCGGAGGCTGAGACTCATGCCTTCAGCACCAACCCTGCCTCCCACTGGCTGCTGCTGGGACACACGTGTTGAGTCCAGCCTGGTTGGGAGCCCTGGGGCTTGCGATGAGAGAAGCAGCCCAGCCATCGGGACTCACCTTGGTCCATCCGGCCGATGGTGGTGTACTGGGCGGCTAGGTCTGCTCGGGCCGCCGGTGTGTCTGGGACAAAGTAAGGCACCTGAGGAGGCGGGCAGGTGGAAATCTATGAGACTGGATGAGGGGACGGGGACACTGTTGGCCGGGTAGAGAGCAGGGTACGGTGCCCTCTCCCCAACTCCCCAATGGACACAGCTTTATTCCACGCGCATACACCCTCTGTCTCCACTTTATTCCATGCATATACACCTTCCATATCCACTTTATCCTACACACACACACCCTCCGTCTCCACTTTATTCCCCGCGTATACACCCTCCGTCTCCATGGTTCAAGGTTCCCTCTGCACCCCACACGGAAGGACCTGGAGCCCACTGAGTCAAGTCTCCTTATACACACCCACACCACATCACTGGCAAGGGCTGCACACTGAAAGGAGGGCGGGGCCTTGGATTCGGGGGAGGGTGGGTTGTGTCCTGGAAGCAAAGGCCCCTCCTTACCACCACATCCTGGGGATCGTAGGTCTGGGGTGTCCAGTCTGGGATGCGCCCCATGCCTCTCTCTCCATTGCCAAACTTCTCACAGAAGGTTCCGTACTGGGGCTGGGAGTGCCCACAGCGGTGGGGGTCATGGAAAGCCACGTAGAGGAAGAAAGGCCTGCACGTGGGGGAGGGGGCCAGCGTGAGGGTCAAGGCCAGGCCACTGTCTAGAGCCCCAATTCTTAGGCAGGCACGCTTCGGCTTGGCTTACTCCTACCTACAGGTCACCCTGTGTCCCTTACTGCCTCAGTCTCCCTCTCCCCCCTCTTCTGGGCATCCGGAATGTTTTCCTCTGCCACGGTCAACTGTGGTCCCCGGGATGAGAGCCTACACCTACTGTGGAGAGCTCCGGCCTCCCCAGAGGGTGACAGGACAGAGCCCTCCGCACCTGCCGTCCCGAGTCTGCAGAAATCTCTGGACCAGTTCCTTAATCCTGGTGATGTTCCGTCCCACCTGAAGCACAGAGCTGTTCTCCTCCGTGAAGGCGAAGTCAAAGGGGTACACGGTCTCCGGACCCACGTGCTTCTTACCGATGATGCCTGAGGGAGGACGGGAGAAGACGCCTGTCCAGAGTCCACTCTGTCCCCTCGTCCTGCCCAAGCCCTGAAAGTGTGGCTGCTGCGGAATGGGCAGTTTGCAGACTCTTGGCCTGACTCTAAGGGTGGCTCAGAGCCCCCTGGACGCCCCACCCCAAGAGGCTAGGGAGGGTCACAAAGTGGCCTAAGCACCTGCACCCTGTCCTCAGGCCCATGCTTCACCCGTGAGCATGCTCACCTGGCAAAGCCACAGGCCACACAGGCGGAGAGTGAGTTCAGCTTTGGCTGGGAGGGGCGGGGGAGGGGCCAGGCACCTGCACCGTGTACCCTGGCCGCGCCTCACCTGTGCGCACTCCGGCCTGGCTGAGCAGCCGCGGTAGGCTTTGCACCTTGTCGAAGGAGTTGAAGTGATGCATGTCCTGGTGCAGGCCGTACATGCCATTCTGGTGCTGCAAACAGGAGGACGCAGGCCCTAAGACTGAACTCCCCACCCCACAGCTCATCCCAGGAGCCTCAATGCTGACCCGAGGGGAACTCCCATCCTGTTCTTCTCCCTCCTGTGACTGGGGTGGGGGGCACCAGCAGGGAGGAGAGAAGCCAGGGCGCCCCAGCTGCACACCGAGTCTGAGGCAAGTCTGGGTCTAGACCCTGTCTGGAAAAGGTTGGGGGTTGGTGCAAGATGACCAGTGGGAAAGCCTAATGATGATCTGAGTTCGAGCCCTGAGGCCCACATAGCGGGAGACCACCCCCCCACTCCCACAAGCTGACTCTGGCCTCTAGAAACTGGCTGTGAATGAGTGCATGGTGTGTCCCATTCCACCTGCCTACACAAGCAAATTTAAAAACGGAATCTGAAGCCCCAGGGCAGAAGTGCGTGTTGACGCAGCGTCTGTGTGTTTACCGGCTGTCCTGGAACTCTCTCTCGCTCTCTGCAGACCAGGCTGGCCGCGAGTTCAGAGACCCTCCTGCCTCTGCCTCCTGAGTGAGTGCTGGATCACGGGAGTTTAAAACAGAGGCCTTGAGGAAGAGTTAAGTTCCCACACACGGGCTACAAGGAGCAGGGCCCTTCGGGGACGCTGCTAAGCTCAGTGCCACAGCCAGCCAGCCACAGAGGGTGAACGGCAGTGGCGGCAGGGAGTCCACTTGCAGGGGGGCCCTGGAGTCGTCAGATTCAGAGACCAGTAGAGTGGCAGGAAGGGGGCACCAGAATGGAACGAGGACAGGGGACCAATCAGAGAAAGTTCTAGAGGTGGGTGGGTGGTGGGGAGGGCGGCCGGCGTGTGATTGTGTTTCACACCACTGACCACGCAGCGAAAAACTGCCGAGGTGGCAAATTTTGTGTTTTATGCACTTTACCATAACAACAACAAAATAGGAAGTGCCTTAATGTCACATGGGAACGCCTGACCTACCACAGATCCCAGCTCAGAGTTGGGCAGCCAGTATGCAGGCTCTGGGCTAAACACCACACCCACAAAGCCACGCTTGGCCAACAACCCCCACAATGACCTGTGAGGGATATCTCACTGTGCCCTGCATGCCACAGATGAGGCACAGATCGCGATAAAGTCTGCTCACGGCCACGGAGCGGCAGAGCCACCTGAGCTGACGGGTGTTGAGGCTGAGCCCTGGTCTGCCCCTGAGATCTCCGGGCTGTACCTGCCCCTCAGGATACAGAGGAAACCGGGCCAGCACCTCAGGGAGAGAGGGGGTTCCCTGCGGCAGAGGCCTGGTCCTTAACAGTCACCTTCCCACCCCTCCCTTCCCCCACCCCACTAGCCACCCTCACCTGGGGCAGGCCGGTGAGGAGGCTGGCTCGGCTGGGGGAACAGCTGCTGACTGAGGTGAAGGCGTTGCGGAAGGTGAGGCTGCGGCGGGCCAGGGCGTCCAGGTGAGGGGTGGCGATGGCACTGTTGTTGTATGCCCCGCTCTCAAAGCCTCCGTCATCCGCTGGGGGACACAGAGCAGAGGGCGTGCTGGCTGGGGTCGGGAGGGCTAGTGTCTGGGCAGGGGGGACCCAGGGTACTGCCACAGAGGCTTGGCCCTTGTGAGGCTCAGGAGAGCGGGGCACTCCCAGAAAGGCAGGACACCCCGGAGGGGGAGTATGAGAAAGGGCTCGATGATACAGGAGATTGTGAGGGAGCAGAGAGCACACAGGCGGGCAAGGTCCCCAAGTGGGTGTGTTAGCAGGGCGAGATTGACACCATGGCTTGCACGGAAGCCAGTTCGTGGCATTCAGGTGGGAATGCTAACGGGTAGGCTAGTGTGGGGAGCACGACACCCCAACATAGTGTTTATGCAGGTGTTGGACTGATGTAACCACTGCAGGCTACTGAGCTACCCTGGGCTCTGCAGACACCTCGGGAGGTGACAGCCAGCCGGGAGAGCCAGGCCCTGGACACAGCTGAGGACACAGATGTGAGCACACCACGCCTCTGCCTCTCGCTGAGGCGCTGACACGCAGTCCTCTTCCCCAGGGGCTACAGTCCTCCAGCCCATTTCTCCCCCTCCCCCGCCTCCACCCTCCAGGAGGCACCTGGAGCCTAGAGAGGTGGCATGCAGCACACGCAGCCGCCGGAAGTGGAAATGAGGACAGGTGGCCCAGATCCTACGGCTTTGCCTCTGGTCGGCAGCAGCGGACATCGGGGGTTCCCCAGAAGTGGCTGGTGGGAACCCAGGGGCAACGCTTCACCCACCTGCCTAGAGGCAACACAATCCTTGAACAGAGGTGTATGGCAAGCCTCCAGGCCAGCTACCATTCTCCATCCCGAGGGTCAACTGGGCAAGAACCAATGACAGCCCAGCAGGTGAGAGGATGGGTGGGAGGACTACTGGGAGGACGGGTGGGATCTGTGTTTGGTGCACCTTCTGCTGCAGGCCAGGAAGGAACACTGCGTCTGTCCACGGAGGTCTCAGAACCTGCCTACGACCCTGACGTAGACTGAATTTGTGTCCTTCCAAAATTCATACTGTCAACAATACAGAGAAACCCTATCTCATAAAAAAAAATTCATACTGTCATTGTCTCTAAGAGTTAAATGGTCAACCTAACAGGACTCTGTGAAATTTCTCTGCCATTAAAAGCCAGGAACCAGAATGAGGAGCTGACTCTCTGGTCCCAGTCTCTCTCTCTCTCTCTCTCTCTCTCTCTCTCTCTCTCTCTCTCTCTCTCTCTCTTCCTTCCCCCTCTCCCTCTCTATGTTTTAATCTTTATGCTTTGTGGATATTTTGCCTGATGTATACACATGGACCCACAGACACCAAAAGAGGTGTCAGCTGCCTCGGAACTGAGGTCACAGACAGCTGTGAGCCACCACGTGGTGCTGGATCTTGAACCTGGGTCCTCTGGAAGAGCACCCCAGTCCTCTTAACCGCTGAGCCACCTCTCCAGCCCTGAGCCTGTAGGTTTTTGTTGTTACGGCTGTCCGAGCTGAGACAGGACATATCCTCCGGAGCCACAGACTGGGTTCCGGAAGGCTCCAGCACCCACTGCGTGGTGTGTGTGTGTGTAATGTGCTTGCGCGTCCTGGTCAGATCTTCATCGTTGCCCCCCCCCCCCGTGGAGATGTGGGGGTAGTGTGCTGACACAGCACTGTTTATGTTACAATTACCCAACGGGCCTGCCCAGACACCACAAAGTTTATCAGAAAGTGTGGTCCTGGCCCCGGGCCAGACCTCAGAAGGATATGGTTGTCACAAGCCAGGCACTGATCACCCAAACAGGAAGTCTCATGAATGCTGGAGGGATTTGGGGTTTCTAAGAGGGGCCCAGGGAGTTTGGATGGACCGCGGAGGACTGCGCCTTTGGGCCAGCGGGGAGCAGGATGTGGGGGAGCTGAGCTGGGACATCCTGTAAGGACTCATTCTCTCTTTTGGAAGTTTCTCAGGAGTCTGTGAACCCCCTAGCTCTTGCAAGGCCGCCCGGCGTAAGAAGCTGGGGCCCGCGGGGTTCCCGCGGTTGCTCTGACTGCAAACGTGGGCGTGCTGGGCCAGACCGGGAGGGCCTGACGCACTTAGTGTCAACCCCGCAGCACGAGGGAGGGCAGTGGGAGCTGCAAGTGAGCCGGCGCGCTTAGAGTCAGCACCGGGCTCCTGGAGAGGAGGAGCCGAGTGGCCGCTTCTGGGGCAGCAGACGGTGGCCGCCGTGGACGGCCGTGCCAGGGACGGCGGCACTCACCAACGATCAGCAGCACATTGCGCGAATGCACGCCGCAGAGTCCCAGGACCAGCAGCACCGCGCAGCAGGACAGTCCCCGGGTGTGCATGGCGACGCCCGCCTGCTTGGGTAAGCAGTTCCGGCTCGGCCCCGCCCCACGGTCATGTGCACCCCGGGCCCCGCCCACGCCCTGCCTACTCCGTCCCTGAGATTCCTGCGGACTCAGTTAAAGCCACTTCGGGAGACCCAGAGCCTCAGCGTCCGGTGGGTGAGTCTGGGTCCGTGGAGTGGAGCGAGAGAGTGCGTGGGTCACCAGGAGCTGGGGACGCGGGGCCAGCGCTGGGTCCCCGGGTCCGCCCTGCTCCGAGGACCCTCCCCCACCCTGTCCCGCCTGAATCTGGCCGCCCTCAGCCTTGCTCCGGGTTCTCAGCCTTGCTCTGGGCGTGGGGGTGTGGGACGAGTGGACTTTGTCCAGAATAGCTTGTGAAGCAGTAGTGGGGAACAGGCTGTGGTGCTGGGACGGCGTGTGTGTGTTTGCCAGAATCCTAGTAGATGCTACGTGCACCCAGAATTATTTCTGGAGGTCTGGTTGGCCTTTGAAAAACCAACTGGAATCCCCAGGGCCCACCCTCAGGCTGTGAATGCCACAGGTGGGTGCTGGGTAAATCGTGACATCTAGGATGTGAGACACACACACACACACACACACACACACACACACACAGGCACCCCATTCCTTCACTGCTGGCCCCAGTGGTGGATAAATCCCTCACCCGGCAGTGGCCCTCCACAGTGGTGCGGTGCACACGTGTAAATCTTAGTGCCCTGGGGCCTCTAGGCCACCTGTCTATAACAGACTCTGCCAGCCAGAGGAGGCCCTGAACCTGCAGGACCTGCCCCGACCTCTCTGGGCTGGTACTGTCAGGTTCCCTGGTAAAAGAAAGGAACGGGTTCTTCAGAGCCTAACGTTTAGTCTTCCATCGTCCCACGAGGATCTGGCTTGCCAGGTTTTGTTGGCAGGAGTTGTCAATGGAGAGACACAGGCTTGGGGACAGTGGGGTTCAGGGGCAGTGGCCAAGGGAAGAGGGAGAGGGGCCTTCCTGAATCCTTGGTCCAGGCTCATGAGCACAGGATGCTGACTTAACCTTTTCAGTCCATCATGGTTTGGTGAATTTAACCACCCAGCTCAGCCTCCCCTCCACAAGGCAGACTCTCTCTTCCTGAGGCCTTGGGAGGGGGTTACTAACAGGGCATTGTCACCTTCTCCCAAGCCCAGCCCCTGATCACTGCTCTGTGTCACCCATGCCCAGCCCCGCTCCAGGGACTTCGTCCTCCGTGAAAGGTCTGCCGAGGCCCGGACATGGCGCCAGACCCCTGTTTCGGCTCTCGCGGAGCCCTGCGGAGGAGGCTGCCCATCCTGGCCTGGCTGCCGGTCTACTCCCTGCAGTGGCTGCGGATGGACTTCATCGCGGGACTCTCCGTGGGACTCACAGTCATCCCCCAGGCCCTAGCCTATGCAGAAGTGGCTGGACTCCCGCCCCAGGTGACGTGGCTAACCCCCTCTCCACAGCCTGACCCTTGCTTGTCCCTCAGCGTCTGTCCACGGGCAGAGACACCGACAGTGGCCTCTCTGTCTAATCTCTTAACCATTAAGACCTAACATGTGACTGACTGCCTTTCGGCGCCAAGCTGGGTCCTAGATTTTCCCAGCTGGGACCCGCATCATGGCTTACGGTGGCTTTAAGAACAGGTACTGGTGGCTCGTGCCCAGAGATCCCGGCACTTGGGAAGCTGAGGCAAAAGGTGATTGACAGTACAAAGCCAAAGACTGAATCACCGAGACAGCAGATTTTAAAAGGATACTTAGGGCTGGAGAGATGACTCGGCGGTTAAGAACATTTGCTGCTCCCACAGGGGACCTGGGTTCGGTTCCCAGCGTCTACATGGTGCAGCCAATAACGGTCACCTGGAGCTCTGGCTATGGAGGGTCCAACCCTGGCCTCTGAGGTCACTCACACGGTACACATACAATGCTCATGATCATAAAATTAAAATTAACCAATAAAGCCGGGCGGTGGTGGCCATGCCTTTAATCCCAGCACTCAGGAGGGCAGAGACAGACAGATCTCAGGGCTCAAGACCATCCTGGTCTACAAATGAGTTCCAGGACAGCCAAAGCTGCACAGAGAAACCCCGACTCGAAAAACCAAACCAAAAATAAGTAAATAAATAAAAGAAAATAAATAATAAAAGCAAGCACTTCTCAGGCTCACTGTTATATAAGCACAGAGACCTGAGCTCCCAGCAGACGGCCCCCAGCCCCCCCCCACCTCGGTAGTTAATGGAAGGAGAGAGGTGCATCCTCCGATGTGTGCTGGGGTGTCCAAGTGTGGGGTTGACGACCGGGACGTGGGTGCATGGTGACCAGCCTGGACCTCCTGGTGTTAACTGCAGTCACTCCCCAACAGTATGGCCTCTACTCTGCCTTCATGGGATGCTTCGTGTATGTCTTCCTGGGCACCTCGCGGGACGTGACTCTGGGCCCCACGGCTATCATGTCCCTCCTGGTGTCTTTCTACACTTTCCGCCAGCCCGCCTACGCTGTGCTGCTTGCCTTCCTGTCTGGGTGTCTCCAGCTGGCCATGGGGTTCCTGCATTTAGGTAAGGCCCTGCTTTTCTGTTGTGGGAGTGGCTTCATGGCTGCCTTTCCTGGGGTACCAAGTCCTCCTGGGGGGCCTGTCTGTGCATCACTGTATACAGGGATGAGGTAGTCTCCAACTCTCCTGTGCTCTGCATGGGGGCCAGAATAGAACACTTGTAGAAGTGTTGGGGACCCGGAGCCTAGACCTTCCCTACCTTCCAAAATGTCTTCAATGGAATGAGGTGCCCAGGGTTCTCCAGGAACAGTGTAGTTTTGCACCTGGTGATCCCTTGATGCCTGATGAGACAGGCTCTGCACATGTCTTCCAGAATTTTTGTTTGTATCCATTCACTTAAAACCTTCAGCATTGCTTTTAGATCATAAAACCCATTTTTCTTTTTCTTTTTTTGGGAGGAGGGTGGTTTTGTTTTTTTTTTCAAGACAGGGTTTCTCTGTGTAATCCTGGCTGTCCTGCAACTCACTCTGTAGACCAGGCTAGTCTTGAACCCAGAGATCCGCCTGCCTCTGTCTCACGAGTGCTGGGATTGAAGGCATGTGCCCCACCAACACCTGACCATACACGTATATTTAGAAAAAAAAATCTTTAGGAAAAAAATGTTAGCCGGGCATTGGTGGCACACACCTTTAATCCCAGCACTCGGGAGGCAGAGGCAGGCGGATCTCTGTGAGTTCGAGGCCAGCCTGGACTACAAGAGCAAGTTCCAGGACAGCCTCCAAAGTCACAGAGAAACCCTATCTTGAAAAAACAAAAGTAAAAGAAAAGAATGTCTTCTGGTTGATCTTCAGCTATAGAATCTGATCCCCAGTTCCACTGTGTCCCTTCTCCCTGCCCATACCTACCCCTTTTCCTGAAGTTGAGTGGATTAAATGCCCCAGCTCCTTCTCTCCTGGCCGCAGGGTTCCTACTGGACTTCATCTCCTGCCCTGTCATTAAAGGCTTCACTTCAGCTGCCACCATCACCATCGGCTTCGGACAGATCAAGGTAGGGCCCCGTGCCCGTCTGGACTCTGCCCCTGTGGCTGCCAGGAGTAAGACCAAGGCCAGCCCTGCCTGTGACCTGTAGCCATCCGTTCCCCCGGGGAGCTTCTGTTCCCTAGGGAAGGAGAAGCACCTGGCACTCCCAGGGCTTCTCCTAGGAGAGGTGTGGAGTGGCGGTCGGTGTCAGGCTGGCTGCTGTGCCCGTCTGGTGCCTGATGGGCTCCCCAGGGTGCTTCTGTCCTGTCTTGACAAACGCATCAGGACACCCGTGGTTGCCAGCCAACTGCCAGGCTCCAGCAGCCATCTCCCAGGTCTGACTGCGATGCCTGGCTTTGCTTGTGGTCTCTGCTCTCCGTTTTTCTTTACAATATTTTTTCTTTTTTCTTTTTTTGTTTTTACGAGACAGGGTTTCTCTGTATTGTTTTGGAGGCTGTCGGTCCAGCCCGGCCTCGAACTCACAGAGATCCGCCTGCCTCTGCCTCCCGAGTGCTGGGATTAAAGGCGTGCGCCACCACCGCCAGGCTATTTTTTCTTTTTTTTTTTTTCTTTTTTTTTTTTTAAAGATTTATTTATTTATTTATTACGAACACAACACCCTGCCCCCATGTACGTCTATACACCAGCAGAGGGCACCAGATCTCATTACAGATGGTTGTGAGCCACCATGTGGTTGCTGGGAATTGAACTCATGACCTCTGGAAGAGCAGTCAGTGCTCTTAACCTCTGAGCCATCTCTCCAGCCCTATTTTTTCTTTTTATTGACTTATTTTTTTACATTCCAGTCCAAGTTCCCCTTCCCTTCTCTCCTCCCACTCCCCCTACTCCTCCCCTCCTCCTGTCTGCTCCTCGGAGAGGGTAAGACCTCCCCTAGGAAGTCTACTAACCCTGTCCCATCATCTCGTTGAGGCAGGAGCAAGGTGCCTCTCCACCCCCACAGCCTCATGTCTATGCTGGGCAAGGTATCTCTCCATATAGAATGGGCTCCACTAAGTCAGTCTGTGCATTAGTGTTAGATCTTGGACCCACTGCCAGTGGCCTCATGTATTGTCCCAGTCACACCATTGTCGTCTATATTAAGGGAGTCTAGTTCAGTCTCATGCAGGTTCCCCATTTGTCAACCTGAGTCAGTGATCTTTCACTAATTCGGGTCAGCTGATTCTGTGGGTTTCCCCATCATGGCCTTGACTCCTTTGTTCATATTTTCGCTCCTCCCTCACTTTGATTGTACTCCAGGAGCTTGGCCCATTGGTTAGTTGTAGATTTCTGCATCTGCTTCCATCTGTTTCTGGAAGAGGGTTCTAGCTTCTCTGGGGTTATGGATTGTAGGCTGGGTATCTTTTGCTTTATGTCTGGTATCCACTTATGAGTGAGTACATACTATATTTGTCTTTCTGGTGTTGGTTTACCTCACTTAGGATATGTTTTTTTCTAGTTCTGTCCATTTGCCTGCAAATTTTGGGATGTCATTGATTCTTATCACTGAGTACCCCATTGTGTAAATATGCCACATTTTCTTTATTCATTCTTCAGTTGAGGGGCATCTATGCTGTTTCTAAGATCTGGCTATTACAAATAATGTTTCTATGAACATAGCTGAGCAATTGTCCTTGTGGTGTGAATGTGCCTTCTTTGGGCATATGCCCAACAGTGGTATTTCAGGGTCTTGAGGTAGATTGATCCCTAATCTTCTGAGAAACCTCCATATTAGTTTCCACAGTGGCTGTACAAGTTTGCACTCCCACCAGCAATGGAGGAGTGTTCCCCTTTCTCCACATCCTCTCCAGCATAAGTTGTCATTGGTGGTTTTGATCTTAGCCATTCTGACCAGTGTAAGATGTAATCTCAGAGTGGTTTTGATTTGCATTTCCCTGATGACTAAAGATGTTGAGCATTTCCTTAAGTGCCTTTCCATTATTTGAGATTGTTCTGTTGAGAATTCTCTATTTAGACCTGCACCCCATTTTTTAATTGGATTATTTGGCAGTTCGATTTCTAGTTTCTTGAGTTCTTTACCATTTTTTTTTAGTGCCCCAGACTTGTCTTCTTTCGTTTGTGTTGGAGACACGGTTTCGCTGTGTAACTTTGGAGTCTTTTTCTATTTTTGCGAACCGTATGTAAGATATCTGCAAATAGTATTAAATTCATGTGCTTCAGTTACCCAAGGGTAACTGAATTTCCTCTGTCCACCGCCAGCCCACGGGGATGGGGCTGGTATAAAATGTGCACCCAGCAAGCACATGCAGAATGGAACTGAACCCTGGCCTACACTTGGCAACTTGCGCCCCCCAGGGCATACTCAGGGCCGCACCCCCGGCTCATGACCCTATGTCACCACCCCACAACTCCGCAAGGCATTCTTCCCAAGCCAAGGGGCTGCCCCACCTCTCTGGTGCAGGCTAAGAAATCTGGGATAGGATATGGGTAAGTGTGTGGGGAGGCTGACCATTGCTTTTCCTTCATTTATTTTCTTCTTTTACTTTTTCCATGCTGACTGCTGGGCACTAGGTCACACTTTCATGCATCCAACTCCCCCCAGACCTCCAGACTACAGGCTTGTCCCTGTGTCTGCTTTAAAACAAGCAAGTAATTTAGCATGGTGGGGGCGAGTGCGGTATGCCAGGGTCTTCTCTGCGAGAGGCGTCTTTATTTGGAAAACGCATAATTCAATTTTAGTATGTAAGTATATTTTTACTTTTCCCCTCCCTCCTGAGAACGGGGTGGTCTCTTTGTGATTATAATGCCGGCAGTGGGGTCCTTCTTTGCACCCCTATTTTGCAATCCTGGCTGCCCACCGGATTTTAAAAACATGACCTGTAGTGAGATATCCACCCTGCTCACACCTGTAGCGCCGACCACACCCCTTTGGGCGTGGTCGAGTCTGGTGTCCGGGCAGGTGTCTCTCTTTTGCATCCGGTCAGGTCAGAGGGAGCAGCCTGTGACCAAAGGGGCATGATCAGTGCTACAGGTGCAGGCAGGGTGGACATCTTACTACCATGACCTGCTGCTGGACGGTGGTGGCACACGCCTTTAGTCCCAGCAGTTGGGAGGCAGGGGCAGGCAAATCTGCATGAGTTTGAGGCCAGCCTGCTCTACAGAGGAGTTCAGGACAGCCAGGGCTGTTATACAGAGAAACCCTGTCTCAAAAAACAAAACAAAACAACAAAAAAACTACCACCACCACAAAAAACAACAACAACAAAAAACCAGCCAAACAAAAAGCGTCCATGACCTGCAGCATTCTGACATGCCTGGGGCATGAGCCCACCAAGGCCCAGAATGCATCTGCATTTACTTACCCAGAATGCATCTGTGTTTACTTAACCCAGAATGCTTCTGTCTTTACTTACTCAAGAGTTCCCACACTTCAGTGTTTGCAGCTTGTTTTCAGGCTGGCACAGCCCCTACTGGACCTCATGTGATAAGGAACAAAACCAGCCAGCGCCCACTCCCTCGGAGCCCAGAGTCCTTCCCTGCCATGTGCAATGAGTGCTGTGGCCGGAGTGACTTTTCCTTCTGGGTGGTAGGGGCGGTTCTAGGAGTGACGGACATGACTTTGGGCTGGTGTCTGTATGTGCTTAGAGGCAGCCCAGGACTCCTGACCACACAGCTGTAGAACTGGTTTATGCGTTTATGAAGATAGCTTGCACTCTCCGGCCTTCCTTTGGGGGAGGGGGGGCCTGAGTGATCAGCTGTTAGTCTCCTGGGAGCCCCGAGGCAGCGTGGCCCTGGGGATTGGGGTCCAGCAGGGGCTTCTGATGGGGCAGGAGTGAGCGGATGGCTCTGGCGGGCGCTTGTCTGAAGGCTTCTCTGTTCGCACAGAACCTGCTGGGATTGCAGAACGTCCCCCGGCAGTTCTTCCTCCAAGTGTACCACACCTTCCTCCACATCACGGAGACCAGGTACCTGTCGGCTCTGGTCCATCCTGACCCCCTCCCCACCCCCGCCCCAGCCCCGTCCAGGTGACATTCGCTCTGTCTCACAGGGACCCTTGCTGTCCCAGGCAGACATCCCTGCCAATCCAGAGTCGGCAGCGTTTTAGCAAGCAGCGTGGACAGCCTCCATAGAACCTTCTTTGTCAATGTCTGAATCCGGAAGTTCTTAGTGAGGCAGAGAGCCCAGACAACACCCACAGCTGATGAAAAGAGAACAGGAGCAGCAGACAGGGCCAGTGAGCCATGGAGAGAGCTGGGGCACCCACAGGGGGGGCCTTTCCTTCGGGGAGTTAGATGCCCTTCCCATCAGCCCAGTGGAAACCAGGATGAATGGCCTGCCCCTTATGCCAGTAATTATTTGGGAAGCCAAGCAAGCTGAGGGGAAGTCCGCTGCTGCTCCGTAGGGCCTGAAGCCAGTGACGGGGTGCTTCCTGTCTGCCCTGGTGGAGGCAGGGGAGTGATATTGGTCAGTCACAGCCCATTGCAGACAGCGCTCTAACAGTTGTCACTGACTGCGCAATCCCAAGCCCTCCAAACCTCTTGGGAACAGACTAAGCAGCTACAGGCTGGAGGACATTTGAAAACTGGACCAATAATCCAGTTACCATGATGACGAGGGGCCTCTCTCCTCCCAGCCCTCAGAGGGGTGTGTCCCTCAGAGGCCAGAGAAGATCTGAAATAGAATAGAGCTGTCAGTTACTTAGAGGGCAGGGAGAGAGGCTTGCAGCAAAAGCTTGTCTGTGATCCTGGCATTCAGAACGCTGAGGCAGGAGGGTTACAAGTTCAGGGACTCCAGCTCCAGCTGCATAGAGAGATCCTATCTCACTAAAAGGAAAGAGTGGCCACGGCAGCCGGGGAGGCACGGTGCTGCTGCTGAGTCAGGCTCTGACGGGCGCTCTCTCTGCAGGGTGGGCGACGCCGTCCTGGGGCTGGCCTGCATGGTGTTGCTGCTTGTGCTGAAGCTGATGCGTGAGCGCGTGCCTCCTCCCCATCCGGAGACGCCCCTTTGCGTGAAGTTCAGTCGTGGGCTGGTGTGGACTGTCACCACAGGTGAGGGCACCTGCTGGCAGAGGAGCCGGCTCCACAGAGGTCGCGCTGTGGACATAGGCTCTTTGAAACCCACAGCTGAACTGAGGACGTTTTCAGACGTAGATGGTTTTGCCCCACCAGGGACATTAGTGATCATTATGGTTGTCACTGCAGTGTTGTTGTCTGTTTCGTTTTTTTGAGACAGGGTTTCTCTGTGTAACAGTCCTAGCTGTCCTGGAACTCACTCTGTAGACCAGGCTGGCCTCGAACTCACAGAGATCCCCCTGCCTCTGCCTCCCAAGTACTGGGATTAAAGGTGTGCGCCACCACTGCCTGCCTAAACGTAAATAGTTTTAAGTCAATAAGGTATATCTTCTGATCTCAATGAATTAAATAAATAAAAAAAAACAGCAGCTGGGTGTAGTGGTCGTAATCCCAACTTGGGAAGCAGAGGCAGGCAGATCTCTGAGTTTGAGTCCAGCATGTTCTTACAGAGAGAGTTCCAGGACAGACAGGGCTACACAGGGAAACCCTGTCTCAAAAAACTAAAAAATAAAATAAAATAAATCAGTAGCAAAACATCTGGATGTGGTGGCACATGTGGTGTTCCGCCATGTGGGTCCCAGAGAGCAACCCCGTTCCTCAGACTTAGTGGCAAGCGCCTTTGCTCACTGAGCCGTCTCTACAGCCTGGGCCACTGTATTCTTGTCCATTTCTTTTCTGCTTGTTAATTACGGAGAGGAATGCAGGCTTCAGGCAACGGTTTATTTTCCTGCCTATCGGTTGTCTCGTGTTGCAGGGGTCCGACACTAGGTGCCTGAACGTGTAAGGTGGGTTTTGTTGTTGTTGCTTCTTTCTTGAAATAACCCTTGGCTCTACTGTGTCTCTATAAGGTGAGGTTTTGCGGACGTTATTTATATTAAGGGGGTTTGTTTCTAAGGCCCCCGTGGCAGTCTCCGCCTTGTTCTGCTGAGAATTCATGGCGTCCGCGTGTCTAGAGTCCACAGGCTTGGCCTCTGCTGTGTTGTGCCCTGTCTCCACACTTGGTTTTTGTTCTTTCATGCTCTACCCTTCTCTGGGATCGAACACTTTACGTTTTATTACCTTTTGGGCTTATTAGTTCTGTCTGGTGTCTGTGCCCAAGATGGTGTTTCACGGCTCTTTCTGGTTTGCGATACGCCTCTTTTTCTTACAACTTCATGAGTGACACGGTAACTTGGCTTGAATTTTTCCCCTGATAGCCTCAATGTTGTCTCTCTCTCTCTCTCTCTCTCTCTCTCTCTCTCTCTCTCTCTCTCTCTCTCTCTCTCTCTCTCTCTCTCTCTCTTTCTCTCTCTCTCCCTCTCTCTACCTCTGAGCTGTCTCTCCAGCCCCCCTGCATCTGCTTTTAAGGAGGCCCACACATTAAGGAAAAGCCATTCATTCATATATGCTCACCGTTTCTGGTCCTCTTCTTGCTGGGTTTTTTTTTTTTTTTTTTGGTTTTTTTTTTTTTGGTTTTTTGAGACAGGGTTTCTCTGTGGCTTTGGAGGCTGACCTGGAACTAGCTCTTGTAGACCAGGCTGGTCTCGAACTCTCAGAGATACGCTTGCCTCTGCCTCCCAAGTGCTGGGATCAAAGGCGTGCGCCACCAACGCCCTACTCTTGCTGGGTTTCTATGTGGTGTCGTTTTCTCTCTGCACAGTGCTTCATCGAAAGCGTCCTGCGTTGCCTGGCTTGCTGGTCAATTCCTTCAGCTTTTTATGCTGGAAAAGCTTTCTGTTTTGCCTTTGTGTTTCAAGACAGTCTTGTTGGGTATAGAATATATATATTTTCCCCTCTTGGTACTTTAGAGGTTCTGTCTGCCGTCTTCTGGCCTTCATTCTGCGTTGCTCCAACGGGAGTACACATGAACCCTTCCTCTGCTGCTTTTAAAGTAGCCCCTCGTTGTCTGTCTGTCTGTCTATCTATCTATCTATCTATCTATCTATCTATCTATCTATCTATCCGTTTCTCTGTTTGTAGGCAGGCTTCTGCTGTGTAACTGCGGCACCTTAAGTAGCCCCCAACTCACAGTGCTCCACTCCAAACCCCTGACTTGCTGCGGTTTCTGGAGAGCGAGCGAGGGTAACACCCTCCCTGTCACCTCCCAGTGCTGTGTGTTTCACAGGGCCACATGCTCATGCCCACTCATGGTCACGTTTCCTCATGCGGAGGCTTCCAGACTGCAGTGCGGGGGGGGGGAGAGGGGGGCTGGGGGGCAGTGTCCCCTGACCAAGATGTGTGTGCCTCAGTTACCTTCCTTTTCTCGTTAAGACTGTGACTTGGGGGCTGGAGAGACGGCTCAGAGGTTAAGAGCACTGACTGTTCTTTCAGAGGTCCTGAGTTCTATTCCCAGCAACCACATAGTGGCTCACAACCATCTGTAATGAGATCTGGTTTCCTCTTCTGGCCTGCAGGCATACAGACAGAACACTGTATACATAATAAATAAATAAATCTTAAAAAAAAAAAGACGCTGGGCGGTGGTGGCGCACGCCTTTAATCCCAGCACTCGGGAGGCAGAGTCAGGCAGATCTCTGTGAGTTCGAGGCTAGGCTGGACCGACAGCCTCCAAAACAATACAGAGAAACCCTGTCTCATAAAACCAAAAAAAAAAAAAAAAGACTGTGACTTCCGGCAGGAGAGACGGCTCAGTGGTAACGAGCACTTGCTATTCTTACAGAGATCTGTGTTCAAGCCCCAGTAGGTACACAGTGGTTCAGAACTCTAACTATAGTTCTGGGGGGGGGGCGGGGGGAATCTACTGACCTCTTCTGACCTCCTCAGGCACCAGGCACGCACATGGTACATGCACATGCGTGCAGGCAAGGCGCTCATACACTTAATAAACAAGTCTTCAGAAACGAAGAAGACCGCCTCTCACCCATCCCCACCCCCCTTTCTGTCGCAGGTCGCAATGCCTTGGTGGTCTCCTCTGCGGCGCTGATTGCTTACTCCTTCGAGGTAGCAGGACACCACCCTTTCGTTCTGACTGGGAAGATAGCTGAGGGGCTCCCTCCTGTGCGGGCACCCCCCTTCTCAGTGACCACGGACAATAAGACCATCTCATTCTCTGAGATGGTGCAGGTAAGCAGAGACAAGACCGGTAGGCGTGACTTGCGCCTGAGGTGGCCCCTGGGCTGGGTCCTCAAGATGGGGTGTCCCAGGAAAGTGGCGAAGAAACCAGGTAGCACACGTGTCTTTCTGCCTCAAATCCCTTCCTTCTTCGGATACCAGGAAAGGATGCCGGGTTCTTCTTAGAGCCTCTCTTTTCACCCTGAGGTGGTATTTCCTCTCCAGTATAAATCCACACTGATGCAGTTTGGGCAGCGTTTGCCTCTGCTAGCTGCCACCAGGGAGCAGTGGCCGGTCCCTGCTCTGCCTGAGCACAGGGAGATTACTCACTGTCCCTCTCTCCTCTAGAACATGGGTACTGGACTGGCTGTGATACCTCTGGTGGGCCTCCTGGAGAGCATCGCCGTGGCCAAATCCTTTGGTGAGATGCCCACCGCCTATAACTCCCCCAACAGGCATGCACGCTCCCACACTCCAGGCTCCTGCTACCTGGTGTGTTTGCCTATTCTAATTTTTACAATTAGAATTTTAATACAAGTAACACATGCTCATGTTTTAAAAGGATTGGATGGGTTGTTGTTGTTTTAATTTATTTTCTTTTAAGATTTATTTATTATGTATGCAGTGTTCTGCCTGCAGGTCAGAAGAGGCACCAGACCTCATTACAGATGGTTGTGAGCCATCATGCGGTTGCTGGGAATTGAACTCAGGACCTCTGGAAGAGCAGCCAGTGCTCTTAACCTCTGAGCCATCTCTCCAGCCCAAGCTGTGTTGTTTTTAATGTAATTTGTTGAGCTGCAAGGTTATTTTTTTAATCAATTTAATTTGCGTGCATGTATGCACGCGCGCGCACACACACACCAGTTCAGATGCCTGCAGAGGCCAGAAGGTGTGAGATCCCCTGGACCTGGGGTTGCAGGCGGCTGCGAGCCACCAGACATGATTACGAGGAGCTGAACTCGGGTCCTCTGCAAGAGCAGTCAGCTCTCAACCCTGGGATATCGCTCCAGCCCCCCAAATTTGTTTGTTTGTTTGGTTTTGATGCCAGACCATATTATGTAGCCTTGACTGGCCTGGAAGTCACTGCTAGACCAGGTTGGCTCTGAACGCACTCAGGGAGATCTGCCTGCCTGTCTCCTAAGTGTTGGGATTACAATGAGCCACCGCATCCCCCTGAAAAGTTTTAATTTAATCAGGAGGAAAGGCTGGTCTTTGAACTTCAACTTAGTACTTAGTACTTGGCTCACTAAATTCCTAAAACTTTGACCCCTCGTTTACTCCCTCTGGCCCCACCAGTCAATCCTTCCATCTCTTCATCTTCGGTGTCTGTGTTCCGATCCGTAACCATGGCGGGTCCTCCTTGCTGTGGGGCAGGGAGAGTCTGAAGTCTAAAACCAGGACTTGGTGTGGTGTTCAGTGCTGCGGTATTTGCCTAACGTGTCCAGTCCAGGTTCTGTCTCCAGAAACACACACCGTCACCTGTCACCATCACCAGCGAAAATAACACCTGCTTTCAAAACTGCACGCTCCAGGCTTCCTGCCTGATCTTAGTTGTGCCTGGAACACATTCCTTCTCCGGCATTCCAGTACTTCACCCCCATACCCCAATCAGACCCTCTTTAAGATTTGTTTGCTGGGCATGGTGCTCTACCACTCTTACCCCCCCAGCACTCAGAGGCAGAAGCAAACAGATCTTTGTGAATTCAAGGCCAGCCTGGTGTTTATAGGGAGTTACAGCACACAGTAATATCCTGTCTCATCAGCCCCCCCCTCCAAATTTGAATTTGTTTCTCTGTATGTATGAGTGCCTCTGTGTATGTGTGTGTGCACCACATGTGTGCTGTGCCTGTGGAGGCCAGAAGAGGGCACTGGAGCCCTTGAACTAGAGTTACAGACAGTTGTGAGCCACTGTGTGGTACTGGGGACTGGACCCCAGTTTCCTGTGAGAGCCCAGAGTGCTGTTAACCACGGAACCGTCTCCCCAGCTCCTACTTTTGGATTTTTTTTTTAGCATTTCTTAGCTTAGATTGAGCATGTGCAGTTTGTGTGTGTCTTATGTGTGTAAACTTATCCATGAGTCTTGGTACCACCCGTAACTTGTCCTTGTACATCAGTGACACTGGTTGTATTGTCCTTTGTCTTCAGCGTCTCAGAATAACTACCGCATTGATGCCAACCAGGAGCTGCTGGCCATCGGTAAGACCCTTCCCGGTCCCATTGCCTCTGTGTCTGTCCGATCGCATCAGGCGTGATGTTTGTGGGGAGAGAGGCCTTTGAAATGTCAGCTTGACCTGTCCTCGGGTGTCCAGTCCGTTCTGTGCAGACCCTCCCCTGCTCCTGCTGTGTCCACCTAAAAGCGGGAGTCTTGTCCTGTGCCAGGGAGGGAGCTGGAGGGTTCAGCCAGGTGTTCTCACGGGTGAGTCTCCTGAATGCCTTTCCCTGGAAGGACATGTGGTAACTGTGCCCAGGAAGGTCCCTCCACCTATCCCCAGTGTGACCTCCCTCCAGGAAACGGCATGCGGGTCAGCGAGGACTCGGGTGGGCCACTGGGGCCAATGTCAGACTAAGCTGCATTTTCTTCGTCCTTGCAAACTAGCATACGTACTGACGTGTTCTGAAGCAAAACTAAAAGTCTTTCTGTTTGAAGATTTATTTCTGTGTGTTGGGATTGTGTGTGTGCATAGTGGAGGTCAGAAGAAGCCACCGGATTCCCTGGATCTGTGAGCCACCTCGCAGGTGCTGGAAACAGAAGCTGCCCCTCTGGGAGAGTAGCAAGTGCTCTTAACCACTGAGCTGTGGCGTCAGCCCCGCACTGGGAATCTTGAATGCCACAACAGAGCTGTTTTTTAATACGTTGTGGGACCTAGGCTAGCCTACATGGTTCTCTCACTTTTTTTTTTTTTTTTGGTTTTTCGAGAAAAGGTTTCTCTGTGGCTTTGGAGGCTGTTCTGGAACTCACTCTGTAGACCAGGCTGGTCTCGAACTCACTGATATCCGCCTGCCTCTGCCTCCCGAGTGCTGGGATTAAAGGCGTGCGCCACCAACGCCCGGCTTGGTTCTCTCATCTTGAAAATGCCCTGTGAGCCTGCAAACTACCTGGGCTCTTTCTCTAAGAGGGGCTGGCATGCCTAACAATCCAGTCAAAGGGTTTGACTTGACGCCTTTCCTTACTGAATAAAAATGAATGGAGCCCCCCCGAGGTGGGGTCACCCGCCTCAAGCAGAAGAAATCCACAGACACCCCATGTCCCAGCCAGTCACCCGGCTGTGGTTTCTGGTTTCTCAGGCATATTCCCACCACATCAAACAAGGTGTGTCTGGAGGCCAGGGTAGAGCCCTGCCCTCGAATGTGTTGTGAAGCTCTGGGTTAGATCCCTGGCATGGCAAGAGGGTAAACGTGGCCCTTCAACCCCCACTCCCAACAAATAATAAATAAATAACAGAGGATTGCCCTGATAGCCATGGAGCCCCCAGAGCGCCAGCCAGATAGAAATAAGGATGGTGGTCGGGCGTTGGTGGCGCACGCCTTTAATCCCAGTACTTGGGAGGCAGAGGCAGGCGGATCTCTGTGAGTTCAAGGCCAGCCTGGTCTACAGAGCGAGTTCCAGGCCAGACTCCAAAGCAATACAGAGAAACCCTGTCTCAAAAAAACAAAAAAAAAAGTCCTTCCCTTCCTTCATCTTTGCCCTGCGTGTTCTGCATTTGGCCCCCCTCCTCCTGCCTTTTTTTCTTGTCTGATGGTTCTGCCCCCCCTTGATAAACTCCCATTCTCTCTCCAGGCCTCACCAATGTGCTGGGCTCCCTGGTCTCCTCTTACCCAGTCACTGGCAGCTTTGGGCGGTGAGTGGCCATGTTCTTTCTTCTCTGTGAATTGAGGGTCAGCTGGGACCAGAGACCCCTTGTCCCCCCTGCCACACCCTTAACCACATTTGACTGTTTCCTCCTCCTCCTCCTCTTCCTCCTCCTCCTCTCCTCCCCCTCCCCATTTGTCCACCAGGCAGTCTAAAGACCTTTGGGAAGCTGTGACCATGTCGCAGCAAGAAAGGTTATACCTGTCCTTCAGGACAGCTCCTGGTATCCCTGCCCTGCATTTAATGGTAGAAGTCCCTGTCCCATCCAAGTCCTCCGGGCATGCTAGTACCTGAGTTAATTCCAAAAGAAAGTGAGGAGAGAGTCTGGCATAGTGGTGCATGCCTTTAGTGCCAGCACTTGGGAGGTAGAGGCAGCTGGATCTCTGTAAGTGAAGTCAAGGCCAGCCTGGTCTACTAAGGGAAGATGCTGTCTAGAGAGAGAGAGAGAGAGAGAGAGAGAGAGAGAGAGAGAGAGAGAGAGAGAGAGAGAGAGAGAGAGAGAGAGAGAGAGAGAGAGAGAGAGAGAGAGAGAGAGAGAGAGAGAGAGAGAGAGAGAGAGAGAGAGAGAGAGAGAGAGAGAGAGAGAGAGAGAGAGAGAGAGAGAGAGAGAGAGAGAGAGAGAGAGAGAGAGAGAGAGAGAGAGAGAGAGAGAGAGGTCAAGTTTGGAGACAACCCTTTCAACCCTTTCCTGGAAGCTGGGATGGGGAGCCCCATGGCTGACAGAGAAATTGCACTCCTCAGCAGGAACTTAGAATGTGGGGGCAGAAGAGGGGAGATCTTAAAGAAATTGGGGCTCTTGATTGGCGTTTTCATGCTTAATAATAAACCAGTATGTGTTAGGGAAAGCGACGGCCCACCCACCCCTGGCTGAACAGCTGTTGGCAGCTAATGGCTGCCGGGGGACAGGGAGTCATTTTCTTCAGTGGCGAAGCCAGTGGCTAGTGCCCATGCTTCAGTTCACACCCACAATCATACGCGGAACCCTAATCAAACCCAGGGGGCGTCAAAACACAATACGAGGAGGGGGACGCGCTGGGAAGGAAGAGGAGTCCAGAGGAAGCGGAGGGGGCATGATAGAGAGGAGTGGGGGAGGGGCTGGTGCCAAGATAAAACCGTCAAAGGAGTTTTAAAAAAAAATAGACAACCAGGGAGACTGAGGCCAGTGCCCTCCAGCTGTGCCGACGTCTTCACTTTGCTGAGGGAGCCAGGCACCACGCGGTGCTCCCCCTGCCCTCACTTCCGTCTCAGGCCTCGCCCAGTATGAGGCCAGACAGCCCCCCCCCCAGCCCCTGGGGACTGACAGGTTTCTTTCTGTTGTCATCCAGGACAGCAGTGAATACCCAGACTGGAGTATGTACCCCGGCAGGGGGCCTGGTGACTGGTGAGCGGCCCCCGCCCCCCTCCCCGCCAACCTTCTTTACCCTGGGTCCGTGAAGTGGGAACTGTGGAGAAGGGAATGGACACAGGCCCCTCTGCATCTCGGCTTCGGCTGCGTCGTTGTTTTTTTTGTGGGTGCTGGTGGGAACCTGCCCCCCTCCCCAGACGACACCTCCCCCTCCCCCTCCCCGCTCAGGTGTGCTGGTCCTGCTGTCCCTGGGCTACTTGACCTCCCTGTTCTACTACATCCCCAAGTCTGCGCTGGCTGCCGTCATCATCATGGCTGTGGCCCCGCTCTTTGACGCCAGGATCGTCAGGACGCTCTGGCGTGTTAAGAGTATGTATGCGCGCGTGCGTTGGTGGTGAGCGCCTTTAATCCCAGCACTCGGGAGGCAGAGGCAGGCGGATCTCTGTGAGTTCGAGGCCAGCCTGGTCTACAGAGCAAATTCCAGGACAGCCTCCAAAACAATACAGAGAAACCCTGTCTCGACGCGGTGTCCGAATGCCAAGGGCGCCTTTTAGTCCCCATCCCGGCCTGCAGCCCTACTGTGTACGGACTAGAGCTGGGGCATTGTGGTGAACTTAGGAAAGGCCACACAGGAAAGTCGGAAACAGGACCGTCACACGGGTGGGGTAGCTCGGAAACAGGACCGTCACACGGGCGGGGTACCGCAGGGACAGCTGAGCCCAGTGGAGACTGGGTTTCTCCCGTTACACCCCCCACCATACTCCTTCCTTTCTCTTCTGTGGGTGGGTGACTTATCTGGCCTCACATAACAGCCTTTCGGTCTCCTAACCTGAGGGTCTCTGACCCAGGGGTTCCTTTCGTGGATCAGAAGTTAAGTTCCCCTTCTTCCTCGTTGGTCACATTTACCAGATGTAGGCATGGTCGGTTGTTCTGCGTCTGGCCTTCCTGTGTGTCTCCACCTGTCACCTTTAGGACAGCCTTGGAGTGTATTACTGTATGTGTGTAGATATAACAGATGCTTCCAGAGGGGCATGGGCCTCTGGAGGGCGGGTCTGTCTGGGGGGCGGGTCTGTCTGGAGGGTGGGTCTGTCTGGAGGGTGGGTCTGTCTGGGGGGTGGATCTGTCTGGGGGGTGGGTCTGTCTGTCTGGAGGATGGGTCTGTCTGTCTGGGGGTGGGTCTGTCTGTCTGGAGGATGGGTCTGTCTGTCTGGGGGTGGGTCTGTCTGTCTGGGGGTGGGTCTGTCTGGAGGATGGGTCTGTCTGAGGGTGGGTCTGTCTGGGGGTGGGTCTGTCTGAGGGTGGGTCTGTCTGAGGGTGGGTCTGTCTGGGGGTGGGCACATCTGGGTTGCTGTTTCAGAGGCGGAATCCCAAGCTGATTCCATGGACTTTGTACCCAGGATACTACTTCAGCCAGAGAATCCTCTGGGCCTCCTAGCAGTTACAAGACACACAGATAGATACGCAGAGACAGACACACACACACACACACACACACAGACACACAGACACATCCACACAGAGACACACAGACACACAGATAGACACGCAGAGATAGACACACACACACACACACACAGACACACACACACACAGACACATCCACACAGAGACACACAGACACACAGATAGATACGCAGAGATAGACACACACACACACAGACACACACATTCACAGAGACAGACACACACATCCACACAGAGACACAGACACACAGACACACAGACACATACATACACACAGAGACACAAACAGACACACACACACATTCACAGAGACAGACACACACATCCACACAGACACAAACAGACGCACAGACACAAACATACACACAGAGAGACACACAGACACATGCACATACCCGTACATCGACACAGACGCAAACACCCACACAGGCACGCACTCACATGTACACAGATAGAAATAGACACATACACACAAATACAGGCATAGACACGCATATACACAGAGACACACACACACACACACACACACACACACACACCCTTCTCTCTGTCCCTTTTCTCTGGGTTCTCTGACACGCTCCACACACCCCCAACCCCCATGACTACCTGCTCACAGAGGATAAAAGGAGACGACCGGGCCAGGCAGGTCCTACCCTGGTAGACAGAGCCCAATTCTCTACCTCCGCCCTCGGTCTGTTGGCTAGCTACAGCCCACAGCTCCTGTCCCTGTGCCACATCTTCCTCCGGGTGCTTTAGGGCCCCAAGAGACGCTAAGCGCGGGTCCCTGGGCCGTGGGCTCAGAGAGTGTGCTTGGGAGGGGAGGCGCCTGAACCAACATTTCTCCCAGGGCTGGACCTGCTGCCACTCTCCGTGACATTCCTGCTGTGCTTCTGGGAGGTTCAGTACGGCATCCTGGCTGGGACCCTGGTGTCGTTGCTCATTCTCCTGTACTCTGTGGCCAGGCCCAAGACCCAGGTAGGCCCAGAGGAGGGAAAATGTGGGTGGGGATCCCTTGGTTGCTACGGTTGCTGAGACATCTCCTATCTGAGGTGCTCCTGAGGGAGAGCATGCTCTCTGTCGCTCTCGTTCTCTCTCTCTGTTTGTCTCTCTCTCTGGTTTTTCGAGACAGGGTTTCTCTGTGGCTTTGGAGGCTGTCCTGGAACTTGCTCTGTAGACCAGGCTGGCCTAGAACTCACAGAGATCCACCTGCCTCTGCTTCCCAAATGCCGGGATTAAAGGCGTGCTCCACCAACGCCCGGCGCATCTCTAGCTCTCTTGAGTGTGAGGTGTTGGGGGCTCCCCTGCCAGCTCCCCCTCCTGCTGTACCCCGTGTGCTAGGCTTGGCTCGGTGCCTCCTGCCTGTCCGTGAGCAAATAGCAAAGCCTGGAAGAGTATCCTGACCCGCCTGCCCCTGGTGTTCACTCTTGCCCTCCCCCACCCAGGTGTCGGAAGGACACATTCTTGTCCTGCAGCCCGCCAGCGGCCTGCACTTCCCTGCAATTGATGCCCTGCGAGAGACAATAATGAGCCGGGCACTGGAAGGTGCGTGGGCCAGCCAGGATGAGCAGAGATCAGCACACACCCCATCCTTTGCCTGCACACCGCAGCCTCAGCACCCTCAGGCAGTCTCAGGGGCGGGGAGATGTTCACCTGCCTTCCCATTCCAGGCGCCCGAGTAGGGTCTGCTGCAGACCCCACAGCCCCCACTGGGCAGCGGTCCCAGGATTCCCCCTATTAAGGGCCCTGTTTGCTCCTGTGCCTCTGCCTGGGGGATTGACATGCAGGGGAACCTAAAAGGGAAGTAGCTTTCTCCGGATAGCCATTGCCTCCACCCTGGCCACTTGCTAGGTGACAGCCCTGGGGACTGATCTCTTGATGGCCTTGTTGCAGCCCCACCCACGCTACAGAGCCTGTAGCTGTGGCAGACTCTTGGCCTGTCTCCCCAGCATCCCTGCCACGTTGCGCGGTCCTGGAGTGCACGCATATCAGCAGCATAGACTACACCGTGGTTGTGGGGCTCGGTGAGCTCCTGGAGGACTTCCAGAAGCGGGGTGTCACCCTGGCCTTCGTCGGCCTGCAGGTAGGAGAGCCAGGCCACCTCACGAGGAGGGTCCACAGCCCTCCCTGCGTCCCTGGGCTAACTCGATGCCTGTGGACAGATATCATTGCATGTATCTGTAGTTCCTGCACACAGGAGGCTGAGGCCAGAGTGTTGATACGGGTTCAAGGCCAGGCTAGGCCACACTTCATGCGTAAAGCTAACCACAGCCACGGAGTAATACCGTGGCCAAAAACCAAAACAAAATAAAGACTAAAATACTTTAAAGTCCTTAGTGACACCTCTGAGCCATGACATCATCCTAAAGACCCATGTCCAGTCCTCTCCGGCTGTGGTTCTAACCTGGCGGGTTACTGACCATCTGACTTGATTCTCCTGCAGTCGGTGTCCACCCACACCTGTGCTGGGAGCTTCAGGCCAGGGCTCTGGTCCCGGCCCATGCATGCCCAAGCCCATTGTGCTGTGCTGTGTGTGTGTGTGTGTGTGTGTGTGTGTGTGTGTGTGTGTGCGTGCACATGCGTGTGTGTGCAGAGCCCTCGTCCTCATGGTTGGTAAACTGAGACTAATGAGTCAATATGGAAATAAAAGAAAGAGGAGGAGACCTGTGTTTGTTGATGCAGAGTGCCCTTTAATCAGAACAGCTGAGGGCGGTGATCTTCAGGAGAGTGGAGACTGTGCCAGGGGCTCCCGCTTTATTATAGGACGGAAGAGGGAACTGTAGGGGAGGGGAGGTTTTATCTGTAGATGCGCTCTGTGCTGTCTTACCGAATGATACCGGCAGATGTTCTCATTGCTGCACTGGTGTTTCGGTCTGGTGGTGTCTTATCACTGTGCTGAGTCAGGGGTTGGGGTTTTGTTCATTTGGAAGGTTCTCTGGCAGGAAGACCCCCAAGGTCCCCCCCTCTCCCTCCTCCCACCATGTGAGACCAGCGGAATCTTTTAGGGCATCCACTAAGGCTTCCTGTCCCGCGTCGCAGAGCAGGCGCACCCTGCCCTGGGTTAAAGCGCGTCCTCTGTCCCCAGGTGCCTGTGCTTCGCACACTGTTGGCTGCTGACCTGAAGGGGTTCCAGAACTTCACCACTCTGGAGGAGGCCGGTGAGTGCCGGAATGTTCTTCAGCAAACTGTGTGATGGATGAGTATGGAACAGGATGGGTCAGGAAAAGCCCTGAACTAGGGAAAGGCCCTGGCCCTGGGCAGACCCACACTCCCTTCCCGGGCGCCACACCCTGGGTGACTGTCATTCCTTGACTCCCATTCCGTGGCAGGGCCCAGCCTTCTGGAGCATTTTCAGTACCTGATGCAATCCCGTGTGTTTTGCAGAGAAATGCCTGCAACAGGAACCAGGGCCTTGGCCCCACGCTGTCTACGAAGACTCTGTCCAGAGCACAGGATCTCCCTGCTCGAGTCGTAGCCGGGGCCCCTGAAGGGCGGCTCGGGTAGGAAGGGCCTCTGGAAGGTGCCCTCCCTGTGACTTGATGTTGATGTTACCTGACAGACTCACCGACTCTGGCTGGACTGAAAAGGGGCCACATATTTGGTTCTGGAAAAGATCAGGGGGCCACGTGGACTTTCCTGCTGTCCCCAAGCTGTGAGAATTTGGGGGATGGGGTAGGGATGAAGACATCTTCCAGAGAGAGGGTCCAGGTGAGACAGGAGGACTGTGGCTTCTGGCCTGAGCTGGCAGGGGCAATCTGGTACTTTCCTCTTGCGAACAAGGCTCCGTCAGAGAAGAGTCCGGAGAGATCGGGCATCTCAGATGTGCCTGGCTATGGTGCAGAGGTCCAAGCTGAGCTGAAGACGTAACCTCTGTGTGCTATGCACAGTGAAGCCTGTTTAAAAATGTGTTTTAAAATGGAAGTCAGCACCTTGGAGTTTTTTGTAAAAAAAAAAAATTATGCTTGTTAAGAAAAAAAAAATCCAAATCCATGAACTCATCTGTCCCATTCACTGTCCTCTTCAGCTGAGGTCCCCTACCCAGGACAGGTGTGTATCTGTCAGGGTGCACGTGTGTGGCCATCTTATGTGAACCAAATCACTACATCAAGATGCTTTGTCAATTGTCTTCACACAGTCATTACTGTGAGTTATTTATTGTGATGATCAATTCAATGTCATTAAAACACAAGGTTTTTATTTATTCTGTGCGTGTGTGTGGTGTGTGTGTGTGTGTGGTGTGTGTGTGTGGTATGTGTGTGTGTGTGTGCGTGTGTGTGTGTGCGTGTGTGTGTGTGTGCGTGTGTGTGCGCAGAAGCAAGAAGACATCTGGTGTGCTGCTGAGTCACTCCCGGGAGACAGTGGCCCTTGTTGATGGAGGTGGAGGCTGGTTGCCAGCGAGCCCAGTGATCCTCCAGCGTCCGCTCGTCGTCCAGCACTGAGATTAGAGGTTCACCAGCAGCCACACCCAGCACTGTATACGGGTGTTGGGGATTTGCTGGTGTGTGCTGTGGTGAGGAGCCTTGCTCCTGTTGCTGCTGTGTGGGATGTTGTGTGGAGCCTTGTATGTCCCTGTTGCTCGTTGTGTGACACGTTGCCTGGGGAGGCAGGAGCAGGCGTCTGCTCCATCTGGATGCAGAATCGTGAGCAGAAACCACCATCCATTTTGGTGAACCAATGAGGCTTTTTAAAAAATAATCTATTTAGGCTGGGTTTTGTTGGCGCACGCCTTTAATCCCAGCACTTGGGAGGCAGAGGCAGGTGGATCTCTGTGAGTTTGAGGCCAGCCTGGTCTACAAAGCGAGTTCCAGGACATGGTCCAAAACAATACAGAGAAACCCTGTCTTGAAAAACCAAAAAATAAAAATAAAAATCTATTTATTTATTTTGTCTATATGAGTGCTTTGTTTTCATCTACACCAGATCTCGTTACAGATGGTTGTGAGCCACCGTGTGGTTGCTGGGAATGGAACTCAGGACCTCTGGAAGAGCAGCCAGTGCTCTTAACCTCTGAGCCATCTCTCCAGTCCCAAACCAATGAGTTTTATTGGAGTCAACTTATAAAAGAAGAGGTGTGGGGGCTTTCTGTAGGGTGGGGAGGGAACTGTGAAAGAGTGAAATGTATGGGCATGACCATGCCAAAGATTCCAGTGAGGCCCATGGGAGTAGCAAAATCTCCACTGGTGAGACCGAGGGATGACAAAGCCTCCCTGGGGGTCTTGTGCAAGTGAGTGATGATGGGTACAGAAATCAGCAATTGCAGCTTCTGCCTCCTGCCTGACAGCCTGAGCCTGCTCACCTACCAACACCTCCGCCTGGCTAGCTGGCCCTCCCCTGTGATGTACATAATAGGCACGCTGAGGCTCAGGTCTGGGTTGTGGAGGTAAGAGAGTGTGTCATGCCCTCTGCACCTGTACGTGTGTCTGTCCTTTCCTAAGTTCCCTCGCAGCCCCTAGCCTGGGTTCCGGAATGGCAGCCACAGATGATGCGGCAGGGATGACTCACAAACAGCTGTGTCACCGCCCCAGCATGGGTGACAGCTCCAAAAGCTGGGAGCACACATAGCTCGTTGTACAGCCTTCGGATAGCTTGAAGGTCAGACAGTGGCCTCCTCACCAGGTTGCTCTGTTGGCCTGTCTGCTCGGCAGCTCAGCTGCTCTGTCTCCTTCAGACAGTTTGGCTTGTCCCAGGTCTCAGTGTTCCCTACTTCTTAAACACGCTTGGGAAAGGAGGGGCCTGTTGATTCTGGTCAGTTTCAGGGACTTCCTTAGGCTACTGAGTTGTTTACTTCCTGAGCTTAAGAAGCCTCCCTGTAGGACCGACTGTTCCACCTCCTAAAACATCCCGTGTCTTAAAGAGTTTCTCAGCCGGGCGTTGGTGGCGCACACCTTTAATCCCAGCACTCGGGAGGCAGAGGCAGGTAGATCTCTGTGAGTTCGAGACCAGCCTGGTCTACAGAGCAAGTTCCAGGACAGCCTCCAAAACCACAGAGAAACCCTGCCTCAAAAAAACCAAAATAAATAAATAAAGTGTTTCTCTCTAGGACAGAGGTTTTATCTCAAAAGAAATAGTTTCTCGCCGGGCGGTGGTGGCGCACACCATTAATCCCAGCACTCGGGAGGCAGAGGCAGGTGGATCTCTGTGAGTTCAAGGCCGGGCTGGACCGATAGCCTCCGAAACAATACAGAGAAACCCTGTCTCGTAAAAACCAAAAAAAAAAAAAATAGTTTCTCAAGTGTCTCTCAACCATTTTAGACTCCACTATTGAGAATTCTCTATTTAGTTTTGTAGGCTACTTTTTAATTGCAACCTTTGGTGTTTTGGAGACTTGCTTTTTGAGTTCTTGATAAATTTTGGAGATCAGCCTTCTGTCAGATATGGGGTTAGTGAATATCTTTTCCTATTCTGTGGACTGCCTTTTTGTCTTGTTGACTGTGTCCTTTGTCTTACAGAAGCTTCTCAGTTTCAGTAAATCCCATTTGTTAATTGTTGATCTCAGTGTCTGTCCTACCGGTGTTATGTTCAGGAAGTGATCTCCTGTACCAATTCATTGAGGAGTATCTCCCATTTTCTCTTCTAAGAGTTTCAGTGTGGCTGGATTTATGTTGAGGTCTTTGATCCATTTGGACTTAAGTTTTGTGCAAGGCGATAGACATGGATCTATCTGCAGTCTTCTGCATGCCAATATCCAGTTATGCCAGCACCATTTGTTGAAGATGCTTTCTTTCTTCCATTGTATAATTTTAGCTTCTTTGTCAAAAATCAAGTGTTCATAGGTGTGTGGGTTAAAATCAGGGTCTTCAATTTGATTCCATTGGTTTACCTATTTATTTTTGTGCCAATACCAAGCTGTTTTCAGGACTATAGCTCTGTAATAGAACTTGAAGTCAGGGATGGTGATGCCTCCTGAAGTTCCTTTATTGTACAGGGTTGTTTTGGCTATCCTGGGTCTTTTGTTTTTCCATATAAAGTTGATTATTCTTTCCAGATCTGTGAAGAATTGTGCCAGTATTTTGATAGGGATTGCATTGAATCTGTAGATTGCTTTTGGCAAGATTGCCATTTTTATTATGTTGATCCTACCTGTCCAAGAGCATGGGAGATCTTTCCATTTTCTGGTATCTTCTTTGATATCTTTCTTTAGAGACTCAAAGTTCTTGATATACAGGTCTTTCACTTCTCCTTAGCCATCAGGGAAATGCAAATCAAAACAACTCAGAGATACCATCTCACCCCTGTCAGAATGGCTAAAATCAAAAACACCAATGACAATTTATGCTGGAGAGGATGTGGAGAAAGGGGAACACTCCTCCACTGCTGGTGGGAGTGCCAACTCGTATAGTTACTTTGGAAATCAGTATGGAGATTCCTCAGGAAAATGGGAATCAGTCTACCACAAGACCCAGCAATTCCACTCTTTGGCATATACCCAAAAGATGCACATTCATATAACAAGGACATCTGTTCCACTATGTTCATAGTAACATTATTTATAATAGCCAGAACCTGGATGCCCCTCAACTGAAGAGTGGATAGAGAGAATGTGGTACATTTACACAATGGAGTACTACTCAGCGGGGGAAAAAAAACAATGGAATCTTGAAATTTGTAGGCAAATGGATGGCACTAGAAGGAATCATCCTGAGTGAGGAACCCAGTCACAAAAAAAAACATGGAATGTAGTCACTCATATATGGATTTTAGACATGGAGCAGGGGAGTGCCAGTCTGCAATTCCACTGACAGTCTGGGAAACAGGAAAGAACCTAACAGAGATATGCATGGTACCCTAGAGAAGGGGAATGAGGCAAGATCTCCTGAACAGATTGGGAACATGGTGGGGGTGGGGGTGGGAGGGAGTGGGAGCTGGGAAGAAGAGAGGGGGAGAAGAGGAGGAGAGAGTAGGTCATGGGGGAGTAGGAAGGTTGAGTTGGGGGAAGAATAGGGGGAGAACAGGATGAGAAATACCATAATAGAGACAGTTATAGGTTTGAAGAGAGATCTGGCACCAGTGAGATCTTTGGCGATCTACAAGGATGACACCAACTGGCAAGCTAAGCAATAGTGGAGAGACTACCATAAATGCCCATCCCTGATAATGAACTTGACTACCTAGAACCTTCATCCAGTGACTGATGGAAGCAGAGGCAAACACCCACAGCTAAACACTGAACTGAACCCCTGGACCCAGTGACAGAGAGAGAAGAGCGATGAGCAAATAGGCGAAGAATGGGCTGGTGAAACCAACAGAAACTGCTGACCTGAACAAGGGGGAGCTCTTGGACCCCAGACCGACATCTGGGAGGCCAGCATGGGACTGATGCAGACCCCCTGAGTGTGAGAGTCAGTGAGGAGGCCTGGGCAACCTATGGGGCCCTGGGCAGTGGATCAGTGTTTATCCCTGGCATACAAACGGAAATCATGTGTCCATGACACAAAGAGGGATGTTCTCTCAGCCTGGACTCTTAGTCAGGGAGTGACTGGACGCTGCCCTGAGTGAAATAACAGACTTTGGATATCCCCTATGTGGAAGGAAGTGGGGATAGGGTGGGAGGCTGGGGGGGGGATGTTGAAGGGGGTGTGGGAAGAGGGGAGGGAGAGGGAGCTGGGATTGACATGTTAAGCAAGCTCTTTTCTAAAAAAAATGTAATGAAAATAATGAAAAAAAAAGAAATAGTTTCACAACACCTATGTGGTATGACTTGGAACTGTGGTCCTATTACTAGTTGGTGGTATGGTGGGGGGATCATGTCCCCTATTCTTGGTGTGTGGTGTGGTGTGGTACAGTGTCCCTGTCATGGGGAGGTTCCTTCATAAGGACAGTCATCTGTTTACCCAGAATGCCCTAAGCTTCTGCATCCTGAGATACCAGCTCCCAGAGCTGCACCCAGGGTGCCAAAGAATGCCTTCAAGCAGTGGAGGGGGGGGGTTAGGGAACTTTTTTTAGCTGAGGGTTTAGGAATGAGTTTCCGTCTCTCTGAGGGGAAAAGACTTGCACCACCTGAGGGTCTCACACTCTTCATTTCTAGCTCTCATTCTCCCTGGCCTCTCTGAGCGTACAGTTTTGGTTTTTTGGGTTTTTCTGTAGCTTTAGAGCCTGCCCTGGAACTCACTCTGCAGACCAGGCTGGCCTCGAATTCACAGAGATCTGCCTGCCTCCTGAGTGCTGGGATTAAATTAAGACATATACCACCACTGCTCAGCT